CAATTACGGTACGGTTTCCGCAATCCCAGTGATGAGCGTCGAATTCGAGCCAACCTGTACATTACTTTTCAGAATTACGCTGAGTTTAAAGGTAGAGAAATAAACTTTACTGAAAAATTTTATTGCTTTTTAAATTTATTCAGGAATAACAAACATTGGTGATCTATTTTAAACATTTATTTTGCATAAAAACTTTGTTATTTCAAGTTATTTGCATTTTTAAGTTAAATCCAAGCAGATTCAAATGCCCTTTCAAGCTATTTTAGAGTTTTCTGTACCTATCTAGATCAGATTTTGAATAAAAAATAACGTAAGTAACATTAATATTATAAAAAATAGTAAATAATAATAACCATAAATAATATTTACCTTATTTTATAATAAAGAAGACTGTTGGTTTCGCCATGACAATGTTCTAGTGACAGTTAGTAACTATTTTCAAACTCAAAATTAGTTTGTATCTTTGAATAAGAGTTTGTATGGACTTTATTATTTAGATTTATAGCAGTTTACTTAAATTTACCTACAATAGTTTAATAAGTAAGTATTCATAATTTTATCGAGAAAAATAAAGCAGTATCTGCTGACGGAAAGAATATAATAAATAGATATGTTACTAGTGATTTTATTTTTTGAGAAAAATTGCTTCTTGGTCTCAAGGGCTTATGCTCAAAGATATCTAAATAGAAATATTCGTGATACGCGTTCCTTTGAAGGACTGAACGTTTCCAGAAACACAAATCTATTTCTAAAAAATTATTTTTTTTCACGAATTTTGAACTACATCATTTAAAAGCCATTTTTACTCAATATGAAAATAAATTACAATGTTCTTAAGGCCAACTGGCGGTAAGTACCATTAAAAAAAGGAACACGGGCCAAGTAATGATGTCTAGGGCTTGACCTTGCCAAAATTATCATCGATCGTCATTCCCCAGCCATTTAACGCCGTTTTTTTTCGATCGTATGGTAGTTTAAACAAGTTTTAAACAATCAAAATTATTTAACACCATAAAAAACACATCATGTTTTGTTTAAAAATAATCAAAAAGCATGTTTTCTTTTCAATCCTTGTTAAAATCATACTTGCAATGTAAAACTTACTTACCATTTAAATTTGTTGTTAAACATTGTATGTATATTGGAAAATTGTCATGGGCATGAGAACAATATAGTAAATACTTTCCAATGGCCTTTGGCTTGCAATTCGTTCTTAAGGCAAGGAATAAAAACAATCATACCTTGATGGTTTTTAATATACTACTGGGTAATTTTCTGTAATACACTCTGATATACATATTTCAGGTAAATGTTTGTAAACCTTGATTGGAACTAAGAGGTATCATGAATGGCGAATTCTTAAATTATTCGGCTGTTTCCCTTAGCTCAGGGCCGATACATCGTTTTACATGGTGACCTTCAACAAATTAGAGACAAGCTGCAATTTTGCATGGAGCTTCATTTTGTAGAACTTTAAACATCCTGAAACCCCAGCGATGAACCGTTGAGCCCGTCACCCCAAAACCACCCCTACAAGGGGTAAAAATGGGCATTTTTTACTGTTTCTTCAATAACTCTAAAACTACGAATTTTAGGAAAAAAAGTCACGAGTAAAAAATTGAAGAGAAGAAAATTTCCTACCACACTGGTAAAGAACCAAAATTTTTAGAATTTCAGTGGCGCAGGTGCGAATTTAATTTAGGAGGATTGTTTTAATAACCCACCATTCTGTGTTTAACTTCAAATGAAAGCATTTGTGAGATAAATCTCGAGATCAAAAAATTTATTAGGATATAAGTTCCTATAAAAACGATCTTTTTAATAAAGGTAAGTTACCAGTGGCGGAGATAATTTTTTAAATGTGCGTTTTTTACATTTTAAAAACATTGAATAAGAAAAATTGCAGTTTTACAAATAATTTCCATAAAATAGGTATATTGAAAAATTTACACGTTTAATAACAAAATAAGAAAAATCTTAGCTCAAAAATCGGATAACTTATATTAAGGATAGTCCTCATTCACTTCCACATTTGTTTGGTTCATACATGTAATGCCATTTTATTGACCACATGCAATAGTGCAGGTGAGTCCCATTCGCTTGCATGTACATGCTTTTTTACAGCTTCCCGAAGAGCAATTGCAAAATTTTTTCTCTAAAACCCATGTAGGAGCAATGGGCTGGTCTGAATGTATTGGATTAATCTCTCGATTTTTCAGATTCCAACCCCAATCTTGCGGTGGTAAATTGTTATTTAACCAAGCCTGTACCCTGCGATATTTTCAGATCTGTTTTCTCAATACTATAATTTATAACATATCACTATGGTAAAAATGTCACTGTTGTTTTTGATGACTATGAAGAGATAGAGACCAAAGTTGTGAAGCAGAATCGCAGATCTGCAGGTAAAAAAATGGTACCAATTGTATTTTTCTCGAATTTATCTGCAGTGAAGGTACCAAAGGCAGATTTTTTGTCAAACAACAACAACAAAAGCAACTTTATTTGTGCGCTGGGAAAAGTATTGTTGGAAAATGGGGAATGTATAATTCGCTGATGGTGATGCCGATACTCTTATTGTAACTACAGCAGTCGATTCGTCCGGGAAAGGTGTCAAAACCAAATAAAATAATTGACATATTGACCTCACAACAAAAATTGGGGGATCTGAAAAATGTGATTCTTAGTGTCCACGCTATATTTGATTGTGACACAACGTCTGCTGTGTTCAATGCAGGGAAGATTGATTAATTTAGTGAACACCATCCAGAAGAAAAAGTTATGTGGGCTATTAAAAGAATTGTATAATCCCGAGGCTACAAAGGAGAAGTTACATCTCAGTTTTTTATAGCAGCATATGTTCAAAACTCCACAAATAAGGTAGATTTGGATAGTGCCAGATACATGCTTTATCAACAGTACGTAGCTAAACGAAGTCTCAATACCAACTTCAACTTGGCATCATTACCACCTACCTCCAATAGTGCGAAATATCGTGGACTTAGAGTTTTTTTATCAGGTATAAGTCTCTTCAACGAGAAGATCCTTGACAGTGATAGATGTAAACTGTTTATTTTTAATTAACAATTTACATAAGGGTTGGAATCTGGAACAAATCGAGAGATAAATTTAAAATTTGCATTCAGATGTTGCCCATTGCTCCTACATGGGTTTTTTTTTTGCAATTGCTGTTCGGGAAACTGTAAAAGCATGTACATGCAAGCGAATGGGACTCACCTGCACTATTGCATGTGGTCAATAAAATGGCATTACATGTATGAACCCAACAAATGTGGAAGTGAATGAGTACTATCCTTAATATAAGTTATCCTATTTTTGAGTTAATTCATATAAATTTCATGGAAAATTATTTGTAAAACTGCAATTTTTCTTATTCAATGTTTTTAAAATGTAAAAAACGCACATTTAAAAAAATTATCTCCGCCACTGGTAACTTATCTTTATTAAAAGATCGTTTTAATAGGAAACTTGTATCCTAATAAATTTTTTTCTCGAAGTTATTTCAAAATGCTTTCATTTATTTAAAGAATTCGCACCTCGCCACTGAAATTCTAAAAATTTTGGTTCTTTACCTATGTGGTAGGAAATTTTCTTCTCTTCAATTTTTTACTCGTAACTTTTTTTCCTAAAATTCGTAGTTTTAGAGTTATTGAAGAAACAGTAAAAAATGCCCATTTTTGCCCCTTGTAGGGGTGCTTTTGGGGTGACGGGCTCAACGGTTCATCGCTGGGGTTTCAGGATGTTTAAAGATCTACAAAATGAAGCTCCATGCAAAATTGCAGCTTGTCTCTAATTTGTTGAACCTCGGCCTGTATAGGCTCTGGGCTACCTTGTTTTAATTGAATTTTGAATCGAATTTGTGTAAACAATATATTTTCACACATCTTACTAGACAAAATTATTTCTTATACAGGATGAGTCTTAAATAAGTGCAACTATTTTTAGGAGTAGTATGTTTCGACCCCAAAAACAACGAAGGTTTTTTTCGCGAAAAACTTTTTTTGAAAAAAATTTTGAATTTTTTTTAGTTATTAGTTAAAAAACATAATTTCTTAATAATATGGCAACATAGGTAGCAGATTAAATTTACAAGAAAGAAAATCCAGAAAAGATCGAGTGGTTAATTCTCAAAATTTAAAGAATTTTTTTTTTAATTTCAAAGTGAAACATCTCGGTTATTTTGGATTTATTTAAAAAAATGTAAAGAGAAAATATGTTTCTTGTATCGAGATCTACCAGCCCTGAAAATATTTGCACTTATTCAAGACTCACCCTCTATTCCTGTATACATGGTGTACAAAATTTACCTCTATACAAAAGTGCTTCGTTAGTCCGTTACAGGGCATCAAACTCTAAAAAAATAAACACTTTTTTTCAGATATTTTAAGAACCATTATCCCGATTTGAATGAGATTTTGGGTCTATGGTCTATGTTTTGCTAAGTGCTTTAACATTTGACTTTCAAGAAAAATTTTGTTAATTACATATTTTGGCAGATATTTGCGAAAAACTGATTTTTATGCCATTTGGGGCCATTTTTTTGGATAAAGCTGGCCGAGAACGGTGTTACAATTTTTCCCCTAAAAGGTCCACAATCCCTAAAATGTATACAATCCGCCTAAAAATCCGCCCTTGAATTATTTGTCGTATTATTTAACAAATAACTTTTTACCAAACAGACACAGCAGCCCAAAAAGACATTTTGTTAAAAGACAAGATAAATATTTTGATATTTTTTAACAAAAATATCCAAATTTCTTAAGTTTATCTTTGAGATATATGAAATCAGTCACAACAAAGTCCAGTAAAATATGCCATATTATATAAAATAAAAATTATAATATATTTAAAAATCTACTAGTCCACTGTGTAATTTTGGATAAGGAAAAAACAATCATTTCTCTCAAATTAATGAATGAAATCTGTGCCCCGGCGTATCCTAGCAACGGCCAATCGCTCAGAGCCGTGTGGGCATGACAGCTGTCTCAGCTGACGTGGATTTATGTCAATAATTTTGGTTATTATTCCGCTAAGTGGGGCATTTAGTATATAGAGCTGATCTTTTTTGATCAGCTCAGACTTTAATTAACTAACTTTACTGGAAAAAATGGCCAAATTTGTATTCCTAGTCATTTCTTTAAGTGTTTTTAGTCTATTTAGGTACGTAAAGTGCAATGTATTGGGTTCTGTACTCCTTGACGAGCATAGCTTTGATAAAATTATCCCCCGGTTTGAGACAGTCCTCGTGAAATTCGATGCTTCGTATCCCTATGGAGATAAACATGAAGCATTCTCCTCAGTTGCTGCAGAACTAAAGAACTCCCATGATATATTATTCGCCGAGGTTGGTATAAAAGACTGGGGTGAGCAGGAAAACCAAAAACTAGCTGAAAGATTCGGTATAAAAAGTAAACAAGAATGGCCAGCTTTAAGGTTGTTTGTTAAAGGAGAAGATGAACCGTTTAGCTTTAATTCTAACCATCTATGGACAGCTGATGAAATCAAGAAATTTATCAGAGAGCATAGTAATATCTATCTAGGTTTGCAGGGGTGTATTGAGAGATTTGATCGGTTAGCTGCAGAGTTTGCTGCATCTAGTAATAAGAAGGAAATCATACAGAAGGCTGAAACAGAGCTCAGTAAATTGAAGAGGGAGGTAAGCACTAGAATTACTGTTTTATAATGCATGATATACCCTGGTTATGCTTCGGTTCAGGAAAAGATACAGGAAATTCGATGTAAATTTTAAGGGTATTGTTTACTGGCTCCTCAATTGATTTGAGAAGAAACTTTTAATGGAACTTTTTAAAGTACTGGCTTAGATCAGGCTACCTATCCACTGTTTTTAAATTATTTGCAAAATTAGGTCCTTAAAAGACATAAAATAATAGAATTTTTTACTGTTTATCATTTTTCCAAATACCAAATTATTCCTAAGAAAATTCTTTTTTCAAATATGCTAATGAGCCACCCTCATTCCATTTGAAAAAATTGAGATATGATTAAAAATATGATTTGGGTATCTTTTAACCAGCCAGGATAAGACACTAAAAACATTAGACCATAAAATCGATTTTTCCAAATCTCCTTGATTAAAAATTAGCGTTTTTAAAACAGCACTCTAGATTGAAATTTAAAATACGATTTTTTTAGCGAGAATGTCAAAAGTTGACATATGAAAAGTCATTCTATTCAGAGTGTCATTTTCTAATGAATAAAGTAGAAATATACAGAGGATGCCATTTAAGAGTCAAAAGTTGTAATAATTTACTGTGAAACAGGAAGTGACCGAAAACAATTGAATACATCAATCAATTCTAATTTATGTCATATACTAATATATGTCAAATCTAGTTTTTTTTATCTGAAAAAATAAGTTATAGCCAGTATATTGTATACTAATTGATTTAATATTTTCAGTCTGAGAAGAAATCCGCAGCAGTCTACGTCAAATTCATGAACAAAGTGCTAGAAAAGGAATCGTTTGTACAGGATGAAACAAAGAGACTGAAGAAGATTATTACAGAGGGCAAAGTAAAAGCAGACAAGAGGAAGGATCTTCAAATAAGAGCCAACATTCTGTCATCATTTAATCCAATCAGATCGGAACTCTGATATCACGCCATTGGAAAACAAATTCTTTTTGTCTTGGCTGTCATAAATTTTGTTCTTCTTGCAGGGTATTTCTTGTACGTACGAGATCATAACATTTTCGTTAGTATACATTTACCTTTCATCATATTTTGAATTACTTGAGAATCAAATAAGATTTATAATTAATATAAATGAGGAGTCAAGTTGCAAGACCCACCTTGTCCATTTTTCTTAAAATAGCTTAATGACATATACAGGGTGTTCGAGAAATAGGTGCAGATATTTTAACTGGTAACTGGTTGTATAGTTCGGCCGGTTATCGTCAGCGGTTCTCAAAATGTTGCCATTATTTTTGTTTAATTTTTAATAAGTTAAATAACTCGGTTATTTTTAATTTATTTTAAAAATGATAAAGAGACCAGATTGTTTCTGGAACATCCTGTATTAATAATGAATCCTGAAATCTACATAAACATAGTCTCAAACTGCAGCAATAGTCATCTATTCCTATATAAAATTCACTACAAATTACGTTATTGCAGCAAAATCCGTCTTATCCATTTACATTTGTTTTTTATTGTTATTGTTGCGAGTCCCGCATTTTTTCATAGGCTTTTTACACAAGTATAATATTACTACTGACGTCTTTCCATTTTCAAATCCTATCTAATAAATCAAGTTAGGATGCAAATATACTGTAGCTAAACTCGCAATATGTATCATATACTGCAACAAAACCATATCGCCATATCTGAATTATTTTTGTGTTTTTTTCTTTTTAAAAATTAAATATTAATTTTTATTTCTAAAAAACGAGATACAAAACAATGATTCCACTCAATGGACACGTTTGTTGTAAAATGACGCTTCATACATTTTTTGCAAAACAGTTTTTGCAACTTGACGCCTCGAATATACACAGGGTGATCCAAATTCATCGATACGGGGTGGTGTAACTATACTGATACTAAAAGGCAACTTTGTCCCGGTTTAAGCCACCCTGTATCTCTTACCGTTTCCTAGATCTCAAAATGGCGACAGTCGAATTTTGAAACACCCGGTATAAATGAAAATTTACTTAAGGTACCTTAGATGTATAGAAATAAAAGTATCTTATTATGTTTTAATCATACTGTGACTGATTTTATAACGCTGTTTGTTTTTTATACATTCCAGTTTAATTAAGTTATATGTTTGGTTCAAATCAATGACTAAAATTCGTTTGTCTTTGGTTCGAATCCCATTGAATGTTTGCGTATATATGTATTAATAATGTATTATTTACAATATATACGTACATATCTGTGTATATACGTATATAATGTGATTGTTAAAGTGTTTGTTAAATGTATGTATTGGTAGAAAAAGTGCTGTTCGATATTTTTCAAGTTATATTTTTTGTTATCCTAAAAATAATTATATATTTACTATTTGTGAATCAATATATTTATTCTGATATTGACTACAGCGTTTTATTTCGAGTAAATTTATAATCATAAACTACCGTATGATCGAAAAAAAACGGCGTCAGCGATGGCTATGAAATGAAGAATGAAGATCGCTGTTATTTTCTATGGGAGATGTCATTGATCGTCATTTCCCAGCCAACTGGACGCCGTTTTTTCTCGACCATACGGTATAATATCTACAAATAGAGAACAACGGCACATACTACAAACACGTAAACCACTGCCGTTCTTTAAAAGAACGGTACTTTACGACAGCTGCAGCGGCCGACTCGACCGTAGGCCGTTGTTCTCTGTTATCAGCTATTGCTATTATCAAAATCAGAGTAAGTTTTACTTCTATCAAAATCAAGGAATTTTTGAAAATTTAAAGATGTCAAAATTGACTCATTTTTATTGGTCTTCTTTTAAGGCCCCGTCTACACGTAACGTTTTATCTGTCAGCTAAATCGGATTAAAAACTAGTGCCTTTGCTAGTGTATACAGTGGAACCAGTGGAACTTTAGAATAACTTTTAATAATAGCATTATGTTTAGTGAAGTTGGAAAGAAAAAACATGGAATTTTACTCCAAAATTGTATTCATGGTTAAAATTTGAATTGTAAACAAAGAAAGTTAATTAAATCGTATCGTTTGGTAATAATCACTAAATTACATTATTTTGTAAAACTATGCAAAAATATTAGGTTTTTAAAAGTCGCTTAAAGATGGTCTAATATATCGAGGTTTTTTTGTAAATCTCCTTATATATTATATCGTCCTATTGCTGCCAAAAGTCACTAACTAACATTTTTCCGAATAACCAAATTCATGCAATCACTAACGATGTTTTGAATCGGAGAATCGATTGCAAATGTCATTAACTACGATTTCTGGCTATTTATGTTTTATTTTAATACTGAATAGTTACTAACTATAACATCTTTATGCAATGCAATTCAACTTTAGACGCATTTTTCTCGGAAGTAATAAAAAGTAAGTTAGTGACTTCTGGCAGCAATGGGACGATATGATCTTCTCGATCACAAAGTAACGTTAAAAAATACAATTACAGGGTATAATACCTACATCCTAGATTATAAATATAATAACATTACATAATATAACAATGCTACACAGAATCAAAATTCAAAATGTTACTTCATACGTTTTTTGACCGATCAGGTAAAACGTTATGTGTGGAGGAGGCTTAAAGCATCTGCCAAATTCCACATTTGACAATTTTGACGAGTCTTCAACGTATTTTCGAATAATTTGCATTGTTTTGTCTATGATTGTTTTCCTGTATTTTTGATACTATAATAATTATTTTAAGAGTATCAAATAAAGTATCTCAATATGAGTGAGAATACGGTAAGGAATAATACAGATTATATTAAAAATACTATTATCCCGGTGCACACCAATTTAACCTCACTTTTATTATATGTTTTTTTGAAAAACACTGATATTAATCGGTTTATTGAATATATTTAGAAAATCCCAGAAACACCAGAACGGGAACAGAAAAAATCCGAGTCTTCTGACACAGAACAAGAACATGATCCCCAATTTGCACCCATCATTACTCTGCCTGAAGTACATGTTTCAACAAATGAGGAGAATGAAATTGAATTTTTGAAACTGCGTGCCAAATTGTATCGTTTCGACAGTAAAAGCCAGCCCCCAGAGTGGAAGGTTTGAATTTCAATTATATTAAACATATCTATTTATTTTCTTAAATAAAACTTTATAGGAACGAGGTACCGGAGAGCTGAAAGTTTTGCAGCACAAAGAGAAACATACGTTTCGTATTGTAATGAGACGAGACAAGACATTGAAGGTTTGTGCTAATCACTTTATTATGCCCTGGATGGAACTTAAACCAAGTGACACTAACGAAAAAGCATTTATTTATAACGTATTAGCTGATTTCGCTGACGAAGAGACTAAATCTGAATGTTTGGCTGTTAAATTTGCGACTATTGATAGTAAGTATAGGAAGATCAGTAAAAGTTATTAAAATATTTGATTAATATATGCCTCAATGTTGCCACGGCTATTTTTTACTTTAACTTTGACAAGTGTTGTAATATAGTTTTACTTCAATTTCAGACACAATACTTATACAAGTATTTTTGATATGACACTTCTTTGCGCGCTGTAAAAAACTATTTGTTACACTTAAAAAAAACTATTTGTTACACGCATAAAACTATTTTCTGCATGTTAAAAATACAGTTAAAAAAATATTGTTTTAATTATGACTTTTTCAACATTTCAAACTACACTTTTTCAAACATGTCATTCAAATCTTTCAATTTAATAGCTGCTAGATGGCTGTTAGTAAGAAGTTTCACATTAAATATGTACACACGTTTTTTTTATTTCTTTTTTAAAGTAATAATGTCTTGAAACTTATTTTTCTCTATTAAATGTATTTCTTTTTAGACGCTACTCTGTTTAAATCAAAGTTTGAGGATGCAAAAAATATCTTAAAGTCTTCAGAGAAAGAAGAAATCTCAACTAATGGTAGTACTGAAAGTTTAAACGGCAAACAATCTGAAGAAGAAAATGATACAAGTGATGTTGTGACAAAGTTATCTAAGCTTGAAGTCACTGAAGATCAGTCACAAGCAGGTGTGATTGAAGTTAAGGCATCTCAAGAGACGGCAAGTAATGAAGATGCTTCAGTAAAGAAAAATGAATAGATATATTTTTCTTCATAGATATAAGGGTATTTTTTATATCATTGTAAGACTTAGGAATGTTGCATGTTTGAGTAATATGAAAATTACACCATAATAATTGTTTTTTATACCGACTTCCATTAATTGATGATTTTTATATGATATGTAGAGATATAAAAAGACATAGTTCTTTTTTTTTGTAAATTTCTAATAGTTTAGAATAATTATTTTACATTCCACATTAATAAACCTATTTTTTATAAAAAAATATTTGTAATATTTACAATATAAATTAAAGGTGCATTTTTAATATATAGAATGTTCAGCCATTGTTCAATGCCATGTCATATATTGTCAAACTCTCTCAATCGCTTGCCAACCAGATGAAAAAGGTTGGTAAAGTCATCTGCTGTCCTCCATTCGCTAACTTCAAGTTCTAGTGCTTTACGCCCTGGGCTACTCGAGAACGGTTCTGAAAGGAGCTGTGGCTAATAGACTGGTGCCTTCATATGGCGCGGAACAGTTCTGAACTTTATGACTCAATTGAATGGAGTGAGAGTATCGCGTTCTTGAACAGTTCAGAGCTGCATAACTGCGTGAATGGAGGACAGTAATTACGACATATCGTAAATTACTGCATATTCTTTTTAGTAATTGTCATTGTCATTTGATTTGGGGTTATAATTTTATTGATGGACATTGATTAATGTCAAAATTAAAATTTGATTGTTGCTGCAAAACAAAATTCAATTTTTTATTGCAAAAATACCTTCGCAACCAAAATGAACAAGAGCTCATTGCTAAGCTTATAATTTATTTTTATCGAGAAAGAGACGCTGGTAGCACACTTTTGCCCGTGGACATCGTATATGAAGTAAGTACAATGAAAAGGTGTAATATTACGATGTAAAATACAAATTGATAGCGTTTTTAATAATATAGCGAGTTGCTGATGCTTTAGAAATAAGAATTTCAACAGTCCAAAGAATTGGAATTAAAAGGATCTTACTGATGAAGAGTTCAAGAAAAAATAAATAAATGTCAAAAAAAAACGGGACCCGCTCAATCAATAATATAGGAACGTACTTAAAAATTTCCAAATAATATGAACTGATGTCAGACACACCCTAAAACTCATATTTGACAAATAACGATGACGTAACGGTGAACGATGACTGAACAGTCTAGTTTTTTTATTTACCTATTATCGGGATAAAACCCTCCCTATAAGTAAGGTTTTACCATGGTTTTACCTGTGTAGAAAACTGATGACAGTTCTCAAGTCGATGCTGAAGTTTTACCTGCCGTTTTTTTTTAAATGGAACACCCTGTATATTATTTTTCTGTTAGATGAAGAGGTAAAAATAAACTAATGGGACCAGAATGTTAAATGTATACAGTCTGTTCGACGAGAGGACACTTGACAGTGACAATTATTGTAACCTGTCATTTTACTGGACAGGTAAATTGAATTTTCTGTTATTTTTTGGATGTCGTCTGTCGAAATCTTCCCTTCCTTTGACAGATTCTAAAGAAAACGACATTTTATTATAAAAAATTACTTTAATAATTTCATAACATAACTTTAATAACCACCTTATGCTACAGTTTAGATACATTTTTCCAGTACTTATTCACAATTTAAAAATTAAATTAATTATTTAATAAGTCGTTTTTCAATTGACGACATAATCCAATTCAAATTGTAATTAATTACCTACATATACCGGGCGCGTCTCAAAAGTGGCTCACCCCTATAACTTTTTTAATTTTTCAGATATAGAAACGAGATTTGGTATGTTAGTATATGACAAATTAGGATTGATTGACGTATTCAATTGTTTTTGGCTCCTTGTTTCACCGGAAATGAGTAGGTACAACTTTTGATTTTTAAATGGCACCCTTGGGTTGGTTTGGAAGAAAATGGCCCTGAATAGAATGACATATCATATGTCAACTTTTGAGATTTCCGCATATGGTTTATTTGAAATTGTAACATGATGTTCATAACGACAATTTGACTCGAAATATCAAGTGTGTAGTACCAAATTATTCGTAAAAAAATGTTTTTTCCAAATATGCTAATCAGCCGCCCTTGTTCCATTTAAAAAATTGAGACATGATAAAAAAATACGATTTTTTAACTAGCCAGGACAAGACACCAAAAACATTAGACGATCAAATCTATTTTTCCAAGGCCCCTTGATTAAAAATTAGTGTTTTAACAGAGCTATGGCACTTTAGATTGATATTTAAAATACGACTTTTTTAAGAGAGAATGTCAAAAGTTGACATATGATGATATGTCATTTTATTCAGAGTGTCATTTTCTATCGAATATAAAAAATACCGAGGGTGCCATTTAAAAATCAAAATTTGTAGTCATTTCCGGTGAAACAGGAAGCGATCGAAAACAACTGAATTGGCCAGTCAATCCTAATTCATGTCATATACTAACATACTAAATCTCGTTTTTTTAACTGAAAAGATAAAAAAGTTATAGTGGTGAGCTACTTTTGAGACGCACCCGGTATAGTTTTTTTCAGGTATATACGATTTTTTTCAGGTATAACATACGATAGAAAAAAAACGGTGTCAGAGTCGGGTTGAAAATTAAAGATTGATATTTGGGGAATGTCAGCGACCTCATTATTTACAAGCCAACTTGACGCCGTTTTTTCGATGATACAGTAATTTATTTTAAAATTTTAGTTTAGTTTTTGATTTTTTTTAACTAAAACAATTACTATATATGTTTCAAATTTTAGTTAAACTCAAATAAGTATTTTCTGAATCTTATTCAGATTTTTTAATGTAAAAAATACCATACGATAAAAAAAACAGCGTCAAAGATGGCTGAGAAATGACAATCGACGATAATTTTGGCGTGGTCAAGTCCTAGACGTCGTTACTTGGCCGTAAAAAGGTTGTAATTTATTTTTATTTTTATATTGAGTAAAAATTATTTTTAAATGGTGAGTAGTTAAGTATAAATTTGAGAAAAATACCGTATGATCGAAAAAAAAAACGGCGTCAGCGATGGCTATGAAATGAAGATCGCTGTCATTTTATATGTAAATTTATATGGGAAATGTCATCGATCGTCATTTCCCAGCCAAATGGACGCCGTTTTTTTTTCGATCATACGGTATTTTTTTTTAGAAATATGTGTGTCTGGAATCGTTCTGTCTTTTTTTAATAATTTTATAATTACTGTTAATTTTTGGTTTTATGTGAATTTATAGTAAATGACTATAGTAAATAATCATCGATTGTCATTTTCGAGCAATCTTTGACGCCGTTTTTTTTTCGATCATATTAGATCTTGATTGGCTCAAGTCTGGTCACTTTAACCTAACTACATACATGTTTCAGTTTTTTCAAATACCAATCTAAATTTTTGTAACAAATAAAAAAATCGTACAAGTGTATAAAAGTAGACATTTAATTTCTCTAACTAAAATCAAACTAAAAGTATTCAGAATATGGTCCCAAACATTAAAAAATAATCTATACGTCTTAAAAGTACGTCAACAAGTTTCCTAGTCAATTTGTAAATTTTTCAGTATATTTTTTTCGTCAATCTCCACTTGCTGGTTGCTTTTGCTGCTAAAAAGACCCCACCAACTTCCTTTTTTGGGCCTTTTTGATTCGTCAGCGACCAGTAATGACGATTCAATCAACCAACTGCTGTATTTGTCCAACAGAGCTTTAGTAGTACGGTCTAATTCTTCCACTGTTGGTGCTTCACCACCGTAGTCCATGGGCAAAAGCTCTGTAGGAAACTTTTCTGGAAGACCACCTAAAAAATGGTTTTGCAAAATAAAACACTAATCTACCACAATACCGGGTGCGTCTCAAAAGTGGCTCACTTCTATAACTTTTTGGTAATTATTGGGAAAACTGGAAATCGTCCGATTTTCACCAAAATTCGTATACACACTATTTTGAGGTCGTAGATTACGAATCTGAACTTTTTTCTTGGCGGTCTCTTACCGTTTTTCAGAAAAACGGAAAATTATTTCAACATTGAATTTTTCTTTATTTCGGCCCTATAAAGTAATAATTTCACTATATTTTCATTATATTATAGTTTGTTATGGTGCTTGTCAGATATAACACCCTCCGAATTTGGCATTTATTTATATATCTATCGAAAGCATACACTAAAATAAGAATTTTTAGCAAAAAAAAATTGCGGATGAACCACAATTTATTGAAAAATAAATAAATTAAAAGTGCATTTTTAGGTTGTGATGAAGTTGTATAAGCGTGTAATTATTGTAAAATATGACGATTATTTGCATTTTATATTAATATAAAGGTCAGAATTAATCATTGAGATGCATTAATAAGTCATAATCAAAAATGAGTTGGTGGTATCTTTTGTAATATTTGCCTGATCGATTTACTCCAATTTACTCTTTCGATTCAAACTTGCCGCCAGAGCCGTCTGTCACCATTTGTTGTTAACTTTGAATAAGAAGACTAAGGAAGGAGCATATTAAAAATCTTAGGGCCACCGCGATGGGCCTCAAATATGGCCGACTTAAATTCCGGTTTATCAGTGCCGTTCTAATTTTATTTAAAAAATGTAAAACTATGATGTAGGGTAGACGCGGGGTAGACTCAATAATTTTTATTTTTATTTTACGTTGTGAATAAATGTTGGTAGTTATTAAAATTGTTATAAAAATATATAATTCTAATAAAAATAGATAAGTCATAATAATTATTTATTAACACAAACATCCGATACGCTACTGAAGCAGGTAAGTCAAATTGACGTATCTAAATTCTTTGACATCTAATCTTTGCATAGCCTAACTTTTTTATCAATAAACTTTGTAGATTTTCAGATTATTTAATTCCTTTTGTTTCCGTTTGTAATTTTATTTTTAAGACATATTATGTGATTGTTTCAGATAATATGTTTTAAAAATAAAATTGCAAATAGCCAATAAAAATAATTAAAATAAAAAAGTGTATTTTACAATTCCCCCCCGGCCCCGCACCCCTTTGGCTAACCAGTAAATGTCAGCTTTGTCGAGAGATGGCGTTACGAAAATGGAACCGATTTATTACAAGGAACTTGGGCTTCTTTTTCGTTAGTATATTTTGTGCACATAACCCAACATTTTCAGATTGTTTACAAATTTATTTTAGCAAATTTTCCTTTATTATGCATAGAATTGGTTAAAAAAGTAACAGAAAATAGCAATAACATTGTTTATTGAATACCTAACAAGATATGTGCTAGAAAACCTTAAAAATATGAGAAATTAAGAAAAATTCGATGTTGAAATAATTTTCCGTTTTTCTGAAAAACGGTAAGAGACCGCCAAGAAAAAAGTTCAGATTCGTAATCTACGACCTCAAAATAGGGTGTATACCAATTTTGGTGAAAATCTGACGATTTCCAGTTTTCCCAATAATTACCAACTTTTTTTTATTTTTTTCAGATAAAGAACGAGATTTTAGTATATGACGTAAATTAGGATTGATTGACATATTCAATTATTTTTGGCCACTTCCTGGTTCACCGGAAATGACTACAACTTTTGGTTTTTAAATAACACCCTCGGTATTTTTTTCTTTATTCGATAGAAAATGACACTCTGAATACAATGACATATCATATGTCAACTTTTGACATTTTCGCATATTGTTTATTTGAAATTGTAGCATGCGATTGATAACAACAATTTGACTCGAAATACCAAGTGTGTGGTACCAAATGATTAGTAAAAAATGCTTTTTTTAAGTATGCTAATGAGCCACCTTTGTTCCAATTGGAAAAAATGAGATATCATTAAAAATACGATTTGGGCATCTTTTAACCGGCCAGGATAAGACGCGAAAAACATTAGAGGATCAAATCTATTTTTCCAAGGCGCCTTGATTAAAAATTAGTGTTTTTAACACAGCCAGATGGCACTCATATTTCATTCTATTCAGAGTCATTTTCTATCGAATCAAAAAATATAGAAATATACCAAGGGTGCCATTTGAAAATCAAAAGTTGTAGTAATTTCCGGTGAAAGAGGAAGTGACCAAAAACAATTGAGTACGTCAATCAATCCTAATTTATGTCCTATACTAATATACCAAATTTCTTTCTTTTATTTGAAAAAATAAAAAAGTTATGGGGGTGAGCCACTTTTGAGACGCACCCGGTATACCAAAACGCTTTACTTTTAACAGTGACGCGCTTGTCGCTAACTATATTAGAAATTACATTAGGAACGTATATAGTAGGAGTGTAAGGCTCCGCGCGCACTGCATCGGATCGGACCGACCAGCAAAAGCGACTGCGACCATCGTACATATAGACGGCGCCGGCGTCCACTAAAACATTTCGGCCTGTAGAGGCCAGATTCCTACCTCTACCTATCTACGATAGTCGAGTCACCGCCTTCGCCGTTTCTCGCCGGACTGGTACCGATTCAGTGCGCGTACACCTTAATGGTTATTCTTTCTCGTTAGTTATTAGATAAAATAACTAGAAAACAGGTATAAGTTTGCGATTTCTGCGAATTCGACTATCTGGAGAAAGATAAGTCAAAGTATATCTCTCAATACCGCTTGATAGAGAGTTATAATATAAGCGTACCTTTGTGAAATTTGACTAGATTTAGAAGTTCAGACCTTACTAGAGGTACGACTAGTCTCATCACGTGATGTATCCATGTAGCGGTGTTCAGAACGTGGATACTCTTGATTCGGGCTGGATGAGCATCCTGAAACATAAAGTTTTTCAGTTAGACAGATATTAGATTATATACACGGTGTCCCATAATAAAAATGTCAAGTTGCCGCATTTATTTATTTCATGACATTGTCATTTTTCTTTTGACATTTAGTTTTGTATTACGAGCTTTTAGAGCTTAATATATATCATATTACATATCACTTTTGGTTTAAATGAATTGTATTGTGATACTTTAAGCTTAAAATTTTTACTTGCAGACCTTGCAGTCGAACATTGTTCTTTTTAGAACCTCTTTTAGTGCGAAGTGAACAAGATAGCTTAATAGCCATTGCAAAAAACTCATCGCAACCTTATTAGAATATTTTGAACGGAAATGCGGTAATAATGGCCCTTTATGTCCCTTAAGTGCTTTTAAGGAGGTGAGTTTTGTTGATGTAAATAATAACTGTTTATATATTTATTATTAATTTATCTTTGTTTCCTAAAATATTCTGATTAAAAGAAAATATGTAAAAGTGGGCAACACTGTGCCGGTCAAGCTTAATTACGTAACTAAGTTTATTACGTATGATCTGTATATCTGTATATGGGACACTGTGTGTATATTTAATTAATAGTGTTTCAACTGAATGTTCGTATACCTGAATATACCACAAGAAGCATTTCAATGCGGGTAAACTGACTCGTGCCAAGTGACCAATCGAAACATCTTTCATATCAAAAATAATAACATATCTGAAAGAATAAAAAAAAATAAAAATAATCCGTATTATATCTTAATACTACTTAAATATCAATAAAAAAATATTAACATTAGGTGGGCTGCACAGTGGAAGCGTCTAAGCGAATTGTAAAACGCTCGTTAACGCGTATGTGTACTTTTAAAGGGAAACAAGCTTTTGCATAGGAGATAAACTGCAAACTAATATCGGTGTCTGGAGCTCACTTTTTATCAAAAAACATGATGGTGCAAACCGCACACAGCGATATCTGTTACCGTTACGGGGTGTTTTTCAAAAATGTGCATTTTTAACAAATCGTTGTAACTTTTTTGTTATAAAAATTTTTGTATTTTTATGAAAACATTTTCAACGTATCTTTATACTTACGAAAATAATATTTGCAATAAGAGATACAGAATTTTATATACGCATAAGATACCCTCGCATAACCGCTAAATACTTTTAATTCTTGTCTGGATTATACAGGGAATTTAAAAATAAGAACCTTTATTCTTCCTCAAAGATAAAAATCCATAGGCGCTAAGTCCGGCAGTCTCGACGGCCAACGGCTGGGATCTTGGTTATAGCTATTCAATTATTCTCGAAATTGGCTGCAAAAATTTGCTGATAACTTCAGCGTTCTGAGGCGGTACCTTGTCTTGCTGGTAAAATATGCTTTCCAGTTCCATTAGGGGCAGATCATCAATAAGGGGTCCAAAGCCAAAAAAAAAACTAGTTGAAAGTGGTTAAAACTTTTAAAAATTCTGTATTTCGAAGGGGACTGTAACAAAACATCAAGTATGCTATATTTTTGGAAAGGTAATTTTAAGTCCTTTTCAGTTAATTAAAAATATACAGGGTGTCTCCCTAATAAAAATCAATTTGTCTGCTGACAACTATTAAACTAATAATTTTAAAAAATATATACTTAAACCGTTGAATTCTACGTAAAAAGGTGCTTTGGAAATGTTTTTATAAAAATACAAAATTTTCCATAGCAAAAAAGTTACAGCGATTTGTTAAAAATACACATTTTTGAAGAACACCCCGTAACTCCGAAACAATAACAGATATTGATGTGCGGATTTCACCATTATGTTTTTGATAAAATTTGAGCTTCAGACACCGATATTACTTTTTGTCTATCTCCTATAATAGAAAAGAGCGTTTCCCTTTAAAAGCGTCTAATTTGGCCCCCCTGTACACTAGATGATTATGATTAAAATCGATTAATTTGTTTGTGAGTTAGTTGAATTGGTTTCATAAGATGTAGTGATGAATCTTACCCTTCTTGGAGACCATCTTCGGACAACACGCAGTCGTTATACATACAAAAACCTTTGACAACATCATTAAAGTTCATTTTGGTTGGATCTGGGTCTCTAACGGCATACATCAACACCCTGTATCCCTCAGGGGTAGTTTTGGGAAGTCTTAGAAGATACCTGAAAAAAATAGAGAGCGTTAAAATCACTGTTATACCTTTATTTAAATACCAGAAAGACCTATTCGAGATTATTCTTAATGTCCAGGATTTCAAAACATTTTTATATGGAAGGATTTGCTTTTGGGGACATAGGAACTACTGGTTAATGTTTTTGAGAAGGTAGCTTGGCTGACTTATGAAATCCTAAAAATATAATGGTTATAAAGTATTTACGGGGCAATTAACGGTCATTGTAGGTGTTAAAATTGGGTTTTAAATATTTTTATCCACAAACATACAATAATAAGAGTTTTCTTCAGTTTCATTCAAAACCTTGAAATTCGTAACAAATAGTTTTTTACGTATAATAAATAGTTTTTAGGCGTAAAAAATAGTTTTTTTGCGTATAAAAAATAGTTCCATACGCGTAAAAAAATTGTTTTTTTACGTGTAACAAATAGATTTATGCGTAGGCTGTGTTTTACCACCGTGTTTTTTTACGTGTAATAAATAGATTTTTACACTTAAAAATAGTTTTTTGTACTACGTCAGTACGTATTTCTATAGGCTGTGTTTTACTTATCCTATGGTTTTACTCCCAGCCCGCGTCCTTACCGCTTTTTGTCTCGCGTGTCGTTGTCTCGCTAGCTCGTGTGTCACGGCTAACTCGTGTTTCACTTCAAAATTAAAAAAAGTTCCCAAATTTATAATTTCAGTCAAAGAACAATCTAGTCAAAATGTTTAATTTTTGTTAATCATGACATGTATAGATGTACAGGGTGGGTCAAATTCGACGCTTTTAAATGGAAACACCCTTTTCTATAGGAGATAGACGAAAACTAATATCGGTGTCTGGAGCTCAATTTTCATCAAAAACATGATGGTAAAAACCGCACATCAATATCTGTTACCGTTTCGGTTTGGTTTGGCATGTGCATTTTTAACAAATCGCTGTAACTTTTTTGCTATGGAAAATTTTGCATATCTATGAAAACATTTCCAAAGCACCTTTTTACGTAAAATTTAATGGCGTAAGTATAATTTTTTTATAATTAATAATTTAAGAGTTATCAACAGAAAAATTGATATTTTATTTGGGACACCCTCTATATTTTTAATTAACTGAAAAGAATTTAAAATTACCTTTCCAAAAATATAGCACACTTGATATTTTGTTATAATCCCCTTCGAAATACAGAATTTTTAAAAGTTTGCCACTGTTAACTAGTAGGCTTTGGACCCCTTATTGATGATATGCCCTTAATGGAACTCGAAAACATATTTTTCCAACAAGACGACGCACCGCCTCTGAACGATGAAGTTTTCAGCAAATTTTTGCAGCCAATTTCAAGAATAATTAAATAGCTAACCAAGATCCCAGCCGTTGGCCGTCGACGCCGCCTGACTTAGTGCCCATGGATCTAATCCTATGGATATATTTGCGGAAGAATAAAGGTTCCTTATTCTTCCGTATAATCTAGACAAGAATTAGAAATACTTAGCAGTTATGAGAGGGTATCTTTCACCCCTACTGAGTTAATGAATTCCGCGAGAAATGCTTAACAACTGCCCCATCTGTCCATAACAGAAGACGGTCGGTATGTCGAACACCTGTAGCAAAATTTCATGCCTTGGTTTGCTATTTATTTTTATTGTTATTAGATATAGTTTAAATGTGTTGATGTTGGTTAAATATATTTTAAATGGTTATAAAATTCTGCATCTCTCATAGCAAATATTATTTCGTTTAATATTCATTTTAATTGATGCTCACAGCTAGAATTTTTTTGCATTACAGCCGGTGCCGTTCAAAGCCTACTTATTTAAAGCGGGCGAATTTTTATATACTCTATATCTCGAAGAGGAATCGAGCAAGATATCAAGTATGCTATATTTCTGGAAAGGTAATTTTAAATTATTTTCAATAGATTAAAAATATACAGGGTGTCCCATATAAAAAAATCAGATTTTCTGTTGATAATTCTTAAATTATTAATTTTAAAAAAATTATACTTAAACCATTAAATTCTACGTAAATAGGTGCTCTGGAAATGTTTTCATAAAAATACATAATTTTCCATAGTAAAAAAGTTACAGCGATTTGTTAAAAATGCATATTTTTGAAAAACACCGAAACGGTAACAGATATCGATATGCGGTTTTCACCATCATGTTTTTGACAAAAATTGAGCTCCAGACCCCGATATTAGTTTTTGTCTATCTCCTATAGAAAAGGGTGTTTCCATTTAAAAGCGTCGAATTTGACCCACCCTGTACAGCGTACTGTAAAAACAGCGGAAGCATTTCCCAAACGTCGAACATGATGGGCAGTTCATAGTAGTATTATACAGTTGACAATAATCATTAAAGCCGCCTTGTCATATTGTAAAATAACTTCAAAAAGAAATGATAATTGAAAAAATTGCAAATTGTTGGTGGCAAGTTCATTTTGCTCTTAAAAATTAACCAAGGCTTGTATTGACATGACCCAAAAAACAAAATGCTCAGGAGACATGGTTCTGACCGTAAAATTATATTTTAGGAAAATTTACACACGAAATTATTGCACAGGGTGTTTTAAAGTTAAGATAAAAAACCAACCCCTTGTTTAACCCTGTATAATATGCCAAATATTAAAGTTTATAAAAAACTGAGTTTACGAATTAAAGTTGATATAAATTATATACAGCTTGCTAAAAAATTCATGAAAATAGAGTTAAAAATAACAAAAATATAACACTTTAAATTTGACAAAAAATTTCTCCGTTGCGTTTTTTCTTTCATTTGAGTGTATTTTAACATTTTTTACTTATTTTTATCTGTAAAATAAGCTTCCGGATTGTAGTTCGGGTCACCCTATATAATATACATACAGGGTGAGACTTAAATAAGTGCAAATATTTTCAGGGGTAGTATAATTCGACAACAGGAACACGTCTATGAGGTTTTTTTTCGCAAAAAAAAAGATGTTGAAAATCATGCATTTTCTTTTAAATTTCCCTGTATATTTTTCGAAAACTTTTTAGAACTGCCTGTTCATCGCAAATTTTTCCACGGTATTAATTCTTAAGGCGGGCGGCCACTGCGAGCGAAACTAAACTAAGCGAAGATAAGATTTGTAAAAATCAGCTTCCATACTTTTTAATGCGTGATACTTTTTAATGCAAATCAGCTTCCATGCTTTTCAGCGGCTACTTGAGCGAAACAAAACGAAAATATACGTATGTATGAACGAAGATTCGACTCGTAGTTTAGTTTCGCTCGTTTTAGTTCGTGACAGGTTCCAGCGAATTTTTCGCAGCGATTAGTTCTATGATAGCGGAGATACAATACGAAAACTTAGCTGACTACTGAGCGAAAATCGTTCCCAGTGGAGTTTCCATTTAATTACCGTTTGTTTTCATATTCTTAGCTTAGTTTAGTTACGCTCGCAGTAGCCGCTCGCCTGTAGTCTCTGATATTACCATAGTTACAGCTTTACTCCATGGTTACGGCACTAAAAGGGATGCAAATACAGAAAGAATCCGGTGGCTCTCAAAATTTTTCCAAAAAAATAATTTTTTTTTAATTTTCAAACTTAAATAACTCTAACTAACTAATTTTGGACTTATTTAAAAAACGGTAAAGAGAAAATATGTTTCTTTTATCGAGATCTACCAGTCCTGAAAATATTTGCACTTATTTAAGACTCACCCTGTATAAACTAATAACTGTTTCTTTTGCGACTTTTTTGTATATCATGGAATCAAAATACTTTACCAAAACATTGTTGCATTCTTTTACTAGACGGTCTCTTGGCGAACTGTACGAAATGGGGGATAGGTTTATGTAAACACTCTGTAATATTCTTTGACACCATGTTAGACGTTTCAATGGCCATTTTCAAATCTAAAGCATCCTGACCGAAAGGAGTTTCACTCAAAGATTTCTTCCAAAAGGGAGTGTTGATATTAAATTTCTGTTTTAAATTTGAATTGATATTGTTTCGACATTTTGTGACCATTTTGTAGGTGAAACTTTGCTTGTCTGTACTAGATTTGGGCACTTTCGAATCTGTCAAATCTATATCTCTCGAGACTATATCTTCTTTCGTGTTTGGTTTTCCTTCGGTTTGTTCTTTTGGTTCACCTACAATCATTTTTTTTTCAAAAACCGTTTGGTAAATATTTTTGAGTAAACTTGGAAGTTTATAGTGAATAACTTTCGTTTCTTAAGCTCTGTACTGGAAAGTACAGTTCTTAAGAGATGTAAATAGGAAACAGTACTGGAAAAATGATCAACTCAGCTTGGAGTTAGGGTTTTCGGAACCGGAGCTGTTTTTCGGAACCGGGAATTTCCCGGTTTTTTCGGTACTTTCGGTACTGACTAATTTTTGTTCAATGGTGGTGCAGTTCATCAATCAGAAAGCAAGGGATGGTTTTTAAAAGTAAAATAGATAAAAAATTAAGCTTTTTAATCAAATTATTAAGTAATCAGTCATGGGAAAATTAACATGAACACAAACATGAAAACAAGTAAAGAAAAAAGTATAGGTAACTTAAATTTCACATCAAAGAACATAAACCAACTTAACTGAATTTGAGCCAAAAGCCCTAAAATATTGAATTAAAAATGCAAATATCTATTAATAGGCCAGTCGGCAAGTGCATTGATGGCGGGAGCAAATCCGGACAAGCTGGAATAAGTTTTATTTTGTTTAGTTTGGTGTCGAGAAGCACGTATTAAATTTGCACCCCCCGTAAAGCCCGGATTTGGCCGCCATCTTAAAAAGAGTGGTTAAAATTCGGTTTATTTTTCATTATTTGTCAATAACTCGATTTATATCAACTTTAGTGCAAAATATGTAGAGACCAAAACTAAAGAAGAGAAAAAACTATAAAAAACGTTGTATGGGTTTTACGACTACCCAAAGTATCGAATTTTACGAAAACAAAATTAAAGTTTGATATAATGTACGTGTTCAATATATCCGGGGTTGATTGTACTTGTTTTCACACCACCTTGAGAGGCACCCCCGAGACATAAAGCCTAAAATATCATAATAGAAGGTCATAATGGAAGAACGCAATTTGCATTATGACCGCAATAACGGACTAAATTTTTATTGTTGCGCGACTGGTGTAAAATCAAGTTTAACTGCCTTATCTCTCAGGGAGCTGCCTTGAGGTAAAGTACCCGGCGCGTTTTTTTTTGAGTGGTCTTCCCATTTCCAATAGGCCTAATCCACATGTCGTCAACTTAGGTTTCTTTTGAGGTGGAACGTTCATCAGAGTTCCTTCGTTTTTTTTTATGTTACTGGCTGTTCAATATAATCTTCCTGAATGTCTTCCACATCTGTATCATATTCCGGATCTGGTTCATAAGGTGCAGAATATTCTTTTCGTTGATCTTTACCGAGAGAAAAATTGTCCTCGTACTTATCTTCGTCTAATTTTGCCACCTCCAAACTATTCGAACATTATTTGCCCTGACAAAGTGCACACGTTACCGAGCAACGCAAACCTGCTTTGCGGCAACTACAAGATGTATTACAACCTTTGGCACATTTACATGAAATCACATTTAATAATTCTTGGGGAGCTGCATCTTGGGAAGTAGCAATGGGCATCAACCCATTCTTTGAATTTTTCCGTCCCCAATCCGGAGGTGATTTTTCATTCCCATACCATAGCTGTACCCAGCTCGGACAGTGTAGCGTGCCGCTTTGATCTTTTTACGCTCGGATTTGCGATTCGAAAGAGGGGGAACACTGGAGCGGCGAGCTCTCTCGCCAAAACCAATAGCCGCGTAAGCGCCAGTCAGCCCAGAGATGTATTCAAAAAAATTTTACACGTGACGTAAAAAATTATTCGACTGGTGCTAGAACATAATTTAGATACACGTTTTTAAATTGTTGACTTTAAATAAATATGCATTCTCAAAGAAAACATTTAAAAACAAATTAATTAATTTATTTCTAGAAATAACAGCAAAATGAAATAGGTACATTGATTACTTATAGTTATTTACGAATGTTTCTAAATTAGGAGCTTTCGGTTTTGTTTGCTACATTTAAGTTCTTATTAATATTCTTTAAGGTATTAATAAATTAACTTTGCGTATAATTTTAACAAAAAATACATTATTGGAAAATTTTGACAAGGATGGTTGAATTTAATTGTCTGAAATAATTTAAAGAATTTACATAATATATTTTCATTTAAGGAAAGTTCTTCAAAAATTGTTCTGAAAATTTTATAAAAAACTTTTTAAAACAAGTTTTTATTTAAATACACTAAAAGAATAAAATAAACTTTTCTTTAAAACTTATATTATGAACTTATAACCTCATTACACAATTTTAATATTATATAAAAGCCTGTCGCGAGATTTGAGTGTACAGTTGCACTCATAAAAATCTGGTACGACAACTTTACCTTGTAATTCCTGGTCTAGTGGTCTATCATAACACAAACTTTGAAAATGAGACAGGGTAGACACAGGTTTTAGTTAATTTACTTGTTTATCGATGTAGAGAAATCTCGCGACAAGCTTTTATATATCTAATATTAAAATTGTGTAATGACGTTCTAAGTTCATAATAAAAGTTTTAAAGAAAAAGAGTTTATTTTATTCTTTTTAGTGTATTTAAATAAAAGCTTGTTTTTAAAAAAGGTTTTTTTATAAAATTTATTTTCTACTTTTTAGTTATGCTGGTTTCTCAGTGCCACACACTTAAACTCAATTTTTTTCTTAAATAACTTTTTATTTATTATGGGTATTATGGGTATCCTAATAATAGTTATTATGGGTATCCTAATAATATGTATATCGATTTTCATTAAAAAAGGAGAACTTAAAAAAAACGACAGCTGTCAAATTTGACAGTTCAAATGTGAGACAAATAAAATGAAAACCGACTATGGGGTAGGGGGCATCCAATATATCGATTTTTATCAAAATCGGACAAATTTGAAATTGTTTGACAGCTGTCACATTTGACAGCTCAAAATTTTTTTTCTTTCATTTTAGCCCATTTGGCCATCATCGATTTTTATCAAAATCGGACAACTTTGAAATTTTTTTTGACAACTGTCAAATTTGACAGCTCAACATTTTTTTCATTTTCGCCCATGGCTGTCCTATATATCAATTTTTATCAAAATCGGACAACTTTGAAATTTTTTTGACAGCTGTCAAATTTGACAGCTCAAATTTTTTTCTTTCATTTTAGCCCATGGCCATCCTATATATCAATTTTTATGAAAATCGGTTGACTTTGAAATTTTGACACGTCATTAAACTGTCATTTTTTCAAGATGGCCGCCCATATATTTTTTTTCATATGTATATACCCACAATATACCTATACAGGTTGTTAAATTGTTCATTACTCGCGGCAAGAGTTTTATGGTTGAAATAACCTCGGCCCGCTCGTCGATAGACGACGCGACGCCGACGGGACGAGTCGGCAGAAAAATCAATAATGCATACGTTCTCAATAGGCTGTGTTGCCATTCTGTTTCCCTATAAGTAACTGTCGAGTTAACAACCTGTATATATATATATATATATATATATATATATATATATATATATATATATATATATATATATATATATATATATATATATATATATATATATATATATATATATATATAGCCCAGATCCATTCACAAAGAGAATTTAAAAAATCAAAACCTCAAAATGCCGCCATTTTGACAGCTGTCAAAAATTCGGGTCATGCCTTGCAAAAAATGTATTGTCATCGGGACTGATCCTACATGCCAAATTTCAATCTCCTACAATAAAAGGAAGTGGTTTTAATTTAGCTTACAAGATTTGCCCCGAACAAACATACATACATACATAGATAGTTACATACAAAGCAAGTTAAATAAAAGCTTATAAAAATAGCCTCCAATGAGGAAACTAAATAAAAAAATGGTCACTTGGCATATATACTTTTGAATTGAAAATTAAACAGACTATATTTTGAATTATTTCCATAATTATTTGTGCAACCAGCAGCCGCACATCCCGGAAAACCTTTTCCCATTCCATCAATAAAAATAAAATTGAAATAAAAGCACAAATACCTATGGTTAAATATAAGAAAAAAAATCGAATTAAAATCTTCCGTAATACGGCCCTACGCCCCACCGGTGGAGGCTATGCATCGACTGAATGAGGCTGACTGTTGGTCGCTTAATTCAGTTAGCGCATCGTCGGAGTGGGGCGTTTTAAATTCGAGCGTGGGAAAAATTGGCGAGTGTCAAAGCTATGTTATTCTGTAAGCTGTGGCTGTACCTGACTGTACGTACGGAAGGAGTGCAAGCGAGCTGCGTCTTTGGTCGGTGGTAATGATGCTAGGTTTGGTAAGTTTTTGGTAATAAATTTTACGAAACACTGATATCTGTACTTATCTAATGAGTCGCATTTTTTGGATCCATATAGTGAAGGAGAAATCGTTCTCCAACTTTTTCTATATCTTCTGGGGATGCGTTTGGGTCTTTGAAAGTTTGTGCAACGGTTTGTAATAATTCTTTTTCTTGCTGTAAAACTTTAACGAATTTCATTTTTCCTTGTCTGTATAATGCGGATGTGGTGTCGCAGCCACTAAATGCGCGGAGAAATAAAAAGTGTTCTCGGAAAGACAAAAACTGCCTAGAATAGAGGAAATAACTGCTTATAATATATTCAGCGTGTTTAAACCGAGATAACTTGGAAACGGGTCGTCGCACGGAAAAAGTACATAGAACGTTTTTTATAGAGTTTTTCCTCTTCTTTAATTTTGGTCTGTACATTTTTTGCACTAAAGTTGATAGAAATCGAGTTATTGACAAATAATGAAAAATAAACCGAATTTTAACCACTTTTTCCAAGATGGCGGCCAAATCCGGGCTTTGGGGGTGGTGCAAACTTAACACGTGGTTCCTTACACTAAACTAAACAAAATAAAATTTATCCTAGCTTGTCTAAAATAAAATAATTATTTTTTGTAAACACTTCTGCGTTAAATCCTTTGAATAAGAAGACTAAGGAAGGAGCATATAAAAAATCTTAGGTACACCGCGATGGGCCTCAAGTATGGCCGACTTAAATTCCGGTTTATCAGTGTCGTTCTAATTTTATTTAAAAAATGTAAAATTATGATGTAGGGTAGACGTGGGGTAGACTCAATAATTTGTTCTTTTATTTTACGTTGTGAATAAATGTTGGTAGTTATTAAAATTGTTATAAAAATATATAATTCTAATAAAAATAGATAAGTTATAATAAGTATTTATTACCACAAACATCCGATACGCTACTGAAGCAGGTAAGTCAAATTAACGTATCTAAATTCTTTGACATCTAATCTTTGACAAGTAATAAATAAAAGCTAAAATGCAAGAAAAATATATAATTTAGTTAATTTAAGTGAATTTTATAAATGATCGGTTTACTACACGTATGTATATTATATAGTCTCTTACTAGCGAAAAGTTGTTCCATTATTTCACTCAATTTTTGCCGAGATCTACCGCACGCTACACAACCAACTATTTTAGAGTCTTTTTCGATAAATCGCGATAGTGTCATTGTTAATTTAAGTTCTGCCACAATTTCCATCTAGATTTACTACCTTTATACAACTATCAGTAGTAGAATAAATAATAAATAACATAAAATAAGCTCCGTAAAGACTGACAAATCCACAAAATTTCAAATCAAATTCAAATGTGTCAAATGCATCGTCAAACAGAACTGTCAAGGATCCCCACCGTAGAGTGCTTTTATGGCGCTTTTTCCGCCCACCATGCATGAATACATGGATAGCATTATGCTCCTTCCTTAGTCTTCTTATTCAAAGGTTAAACCTAAACGGACGCTGCTTGTCAGAAGTTATGTTTATATAGTAATACAAATTTGCCTAACAAAGAAAAAAAATGCTTAACGTTTCGGAAAGTTATCTCTTTCCGTCGTCGGAAGCAAAAAAAATACAAAGAATAAAGAAAAAAACTATTTAAAATATTTAAATTCAACTATTCGAGAACACTTTACTTTTTTAAAATAGATACGTCTACAAGAAACCGTTGACGTTCTGTTAAAATGACATTTTTAACTTGATATTTAAACTTCAAAATTAACAATTACTACCTGATAACAATTACTTAATAAGGTAAAACCAAAAAGCCCCAAACTTTCTGTATGATTATTTTTAAATTTTACGTATGTTATGTTTATTTATCTTGTTGTATCTATTGTTCTTTAAAATCAAAGAAGCGATTGCCATACATTACTAACATCTACAGATGCATGAGCAATACATTTATTTTTATTATATAGAATTAAAAAAAGCCTCTTATATTTTTCTTTTAGAGGCTATCGCTTCTTTCATTATAATTTTGGCGTTATTAAAATTTATTATGTGCCCTGTGTCCCAAGAATGCTGACAAATCTTAGATTTGTGAAAATCTCCCTTTCTTAAATAATCTTTATGTTCTTTAATTCTGACATTTAAGGGTCTAGATGTTTCACCAATGTAAATTGTAATTATCCCATTCACAGGGTATTTGGTATATTACATTTTTTGTTTGTTGGTCTGCATTCATTGGTTTAGTACATCCGCCACATAGGTATTAGACATTTTTATGAACAAAAATAATGAACACAAGCGGAAAAAAAAAAGAAAACGCATAGGTAGTTTAAAAATTACACCAAACAACAGCAACCAACCTCGAAACCAATTTAACTAAATTTGAAAAAAAACTTAACATTTTCAATTAAAGATGCAAATGCATATAAAGACACAAAACAAAAAAATATAACTAATACATTCAGCAAGATTATACTAAATAATAATAAAATAACATATTTAAACTTCAATAATTGCTTATAGAAACTTCAAAATAACTTCAGAAGTAAGAACAGTAAGAGATAGCATTACTACTTATTTAGAAGAGTTTAATTTCGACCACTAGAAAGTATCAAAAATCTTTCGCACATAACAAAAAATATGTTTTTAATTATTATTACCCAGCCCCGAAAGTACCGAAAGAACCGGGAATTAATAATTTCGAGTCCCGGTTCTATGATGTCTCAAAAGAACCGGGATTTGCACCGGGTCTCACAGATCTACAAGACCCTGTATATCTAAAAACTCTAGAAAGAATAATCTATTTACCGATGGTTTTCATTTGTCGAAACAAAGATAACAACTCCAAATCATTGTACCGACTTTTCTTCATAGCGTTTCTCTTAGCCAACTTCACGGCATTTTTTTGCTCCATACCCTGTTCCCACTCTAGTCGCTTATTTTTTTGAGTATCGTGCACCAATTCCATCAAAGTTATCACTTTTTTGGGAGGCGGTTCTTTCTTTTTCAAAATCTTAATCTTGGTTTGGTTCCCTTCGAGGTCGAAGGGTCTGTATCGTTCCCGTTTTGACGTTTTACATTTGACAGGTTCTGTCAAAAGTAGCTGGGAGTAGCTTTTCAAGTTCATATTTTTCTTGGGGTATAGTTTTAAAGTGGGCGATTGAAATTTGGAGGTAGCTCCAGATATTTTCGTGCTAGGATTATTACTGTTGCTTAGTCTTGGAGGATTTCTCTCAAAAGTTTGGTTTACATTCCTCTCTTCAACTTCTACGGGCTCAGATTTTAACGGGGAATATCTAGAAAGCGTCTTTTTGTCATTCCGAGCAACGGATTGTGTTTTAGGAAGTTTTTTCTGCACTTCCACCGTCTTTTCTTGACCGTCTGTATATTTCTTCTTATTTTTCTTCTTGTACATGCTGCTCCTGTGCAAAATCTGAGCGTACATAGGCTCCCTATTCACTTCCAAGCCGAAATTGTGTTTTTTAGCTGACTCTGGCAGAGTTTCTTTGACATTTTCACTTAATATAGTATCCTCATCGAGATACTCTAAAAAAACGAAATAAAATTAAAGTTTTGAATGAATTAACTGATTTTATTAGATAGGACCTTGGACATTAATACTGTGTTGGGGTTTATTTTTAATTTTTTTCAAAAATATCGGCATTATCGTTGTCCGGTGTGTCACTTTTTTCGGAGGAAGTCTTTTCGAGGATGATTTGGTAATTTGAGTCCTAAATTCTTCTTTGTTGGCTTTGCTCATCAACATTTGATCAAATATTGTCCCTTTTCTAAACTTTTTCTTCCTAGTGTTCTGTTCTTTGGGTGTGGATTCTTCTTTCATGTTACCGTCAATGAGTGTTTTGGTAGCTTGGTATGAAGGTTGTGCACAACTTAATACGTGTTGGTATTTTATATTTGATGGTTTTACACCTATACAAAAATAAATTTCGTATGAATTTTAGTTATTTATTAATTATTTTTGTCAACAAATAATATTCATACAAAGAACATGTATACAGGGTGTCTCATATAGGAAAGCACACTATAGGGATGTAAAGTAAAAGAGGTACACAGATAGAAAAAAGTTGCGTCTTCCTCAACCCTACAACGTCATGTTTCGAAATCGAAAAAAATCCGAGTACTTCCGATTTTGGTAAAACCCTAATTTTGCCCACTTTGTTTTTATTTTTTTTCTGACACTGTCTGAAAAGATATGAGAATAAACATTTCACATTCCTATTGTTACTATTGTTGTTCTACAAGCTGATATTATTAAATTTTGAATCTGACGTTTCGTTTCCGAGATAACATCAAGAACTTCAGTTTTTTTAAATACGAACCTGTAATCAAAAAATCCAGGTCCAAAACAAAAAATCCAGGTCCATATTTAAAAAAAACAAATTTGATGACGGTATCTCGAAAACGAAACGTCAGAATCAAAATCTAATAACACCATCTTGTATAGCAGGAAAAATAGCAATAGGAATGTGAAATTTGTATAGTTATATCGTTTCAAATATAGTAAGAAAAAAAACCTAATCGGGAAAATTCGGTTTTTTTTCCAAAAACTTCGGTAGTAATCGGCTTTTTTTAAATTTCCTGACATGAAGTTGTAGAGCATAACAAGGCGCAACTTTTCTCTAATTTAAACATATTCGTATGTCTTTCGGTTTACGAGATTCCTGAATTATTGTGCGTTTTTATATTTGGGACACCGTGTAAACGTGTCTTTAATTAATAAATTAATTAAGACAGCGTTGTCAAAGTTACACGGCTGCCTTTAGAAATTGCATACAATTTGACCTCTGTAGTTTGCAATAGTAATTGAAAAGGATATACAGGGTGAGTATTAAATAAGTACAAATATTTTCGGGGCTGGTAGATCTCGATAAAAGAAACATATTTTCTCTTTGCCGTTTTTCAAATAAATCCAAAATAACTGAGTTATTTAACTTTAAAAATCTCCGAAAAAATTTTTTTCTAAAATTTTGAGAACCACTGGATCTTTTCAGGATTTTCTTTCTTGTAAATTTAATCTACTACCTATGTTACCATATTATCAAGAAATTATGTTTTTTAAAAAAAATCTAAAAAAAAATCAAAATTTTTTTCAAAAAAATCCAAATTTACAATTTTTTTTCGTGAAAAAAACCATAATCGTGTTTCTGGGGTCGAAATATACTACCCCTAAAATATTTGCACTTATTTAAGATTTACCCTGTATTTTTCTTTGGCAATTTTCCATGTTTAGTTTTGAAAAATTTACTCACAACTTAACAAGTATGGCTAGACTAAAATATTACATTATAATTAATAATTCTGTATATTTGTTTAAGTAAATAAATAGTAGTAATCAATAATAAATATGGCAGTAAAGTAAAAATACAAGATATCGGTAAATCGTATGCAAAACATACTAAACATATCCTAAATTTATTTACGCAAAAAGTAAATGAAATAATTACAAATACAAACAATGTATTCCTGAGAAATGTATAAGCTTTTTACAAAAAACTACTGATGTTCTTATTTAATGTTACTGAAAGCAGTTATAAAGCAGTGATGCGTACCGACAAATGTGTTTGTTGACAGAATTCTACTTTGCATCTCCAAGAACTCAGTAACCCGTCTCTTATACTCTTCCGAATCAAAGAACTGACAAAGCATGTGAGCGTCTTTTTCTTTGATCACTTGCTTTAATTTCTCTGGATGTACGATAAAATGAGACATGTACTTGTTCAAATAATTAGCATTCAGGTGACCATTCTTGTAGAGCTTTTTTAATTGGACTTGTCTCTAAAAGTATTCACTCTCATTGACGTTCTCTCTATAGGAGTTTTTTTTTTCATACTTACTGAATATGGGTGGATATTTTTTACTAGGAAATACATTGCACGGAAATTTGGAAGTTTAATCAACAAAATGATTTTGACAGCTAGCTGAACACGAATGACAGGAGTGCTTAGGAGACGGAAAATAAAGTCGACTTGTGGCACTAACAATCAAACTACATCTGTCAGATTTTTCGTCAAAATTTTGTGTTCCCCTTTCATGTGACAAAATTCGCTGTGATGAACTCATTAATCAGAAATGTTAAATCCCTTAATATTCCTGTAAGTACACACTTCAATTTTCCACCCTTGAATCATTCTTACTGCATTTTTTTTTACTCTTAAAATTATCACAACTTAAAGGCCCCCACAGACGCTCAGTTTTATCGCTCAGGCCTGTGCAGACCTTGCTTGGATTTGTCCTGCACAAACTTCGGAGCCTAAACCTACGTATGTTTGTTCAATTTTTTCAGTTTGTTTATATTTTCAATCCGTAGATTACATGTTTTCAGTCTATTGTTAACTGGAAACAAAATACTGATTTGTATATCGATGTATTAAACAGTTATTATAACAATTTATTGAACTATATACACTCACTGGCATGAAAAACTGACACCATAAAATTTTGACGTATTTTAAAGTTTTATATATTATGTTCTAGTGAACCGATTTTGATGATCTTTTAAGCAATTTGTAGCTAAATTATTTGACTTTTTAGTATCTGTCTCTAAATTAAAAATAAAAGTTCCCATCTGTCAATTATACGAGGAAAAACAAAATGTTGATATTTTGGTGAAAGTTTGAAACACTCTGTGAAATATGTTGAGACAGCCAAGAAATTCAAAAAAATAATTTTATCGTCAGGATGTGCCTACCTTTCTCGGTAGTTTGTTTTTTGGTTCATCTCAATAGCTTAATTTTTGTTGAAAATATTCGCTCCTGAAGAAGACGTGATTTTCGTAATTTTTATATTAAAACCATGTCTTTGCTTTTGGTCCTAGAAGCAGGCCTTCTTGACAGAAGATTTGCTTCCTTTAATCTTCTTACAGTCAATTTAAAACCGGTCTACTAGAACACAATATATAAAACTTTAAAATATATCAAAATTTTATTGTGCATTTCAAAAGCATGTTTACTAAAAATAAAAAATAAGGATTATTGTAACAAGAATAAAAAATCCGCGGCTTATGAACACCTCATATAGTAAAAAAAGCTAAAGGACAGTGATTCGGAATTAATTAGAAAAGAACTTGTTAAAAAGATTAATATTTAAGAAGTTATTTTAGAAAAAAAAATAGACAAAGTCCTAAAAAGCAATAATTTAAAGTAAAACTGCACAAACTGGCCTGCACAGTACGCCTGCGTTAAAGGACTGAGCTCTGTAGAGTATCTAACACAGATTAACACTAAACTATCTATTTTTAGGGCATCAAGTACATTTCCAATAAAGTCACTCCATCCCTTTCATCAATAGAACATGCCAGCACCAGCGTACCTTCACGTGATTCTTCTTCGCATTTCCAACGCTCAAAATCTCTACCTCCCATCTTGCACACCTTTAAGTCAATTGATGTACCTTACAAACTGAAAAATCCACAAGATATCTCACCGTTTAGAGCTAGAATTAGCCCTGGGTTAACGCGACCCACATTCAAAGTCTTTTCGAAAAGATTCTTCAGTTGGAAGGCTGGAAAAAGCAAAGTAAAAAGTAAAAATACCGAGAACAGAATCGATAGGAAAAGAGGCAGAGGTATAATTAGAGACACGTCGTATAATACACCCTGTATTAAACCGAAAGATGATAAAAAGAACTCCAAGACCATGTTGTTGGACGATATGTTAGAGAAAGATAAAACCCAAGCGGATAACAGCAGAACAATACATCTTTTAAGGTCAATCAGCGGACCTAGCACATCAGTCCAAGAAAAACTAAAGCCTCTACATAGAGAAATGAAATCCCAGGCCAATACTATCAAAGATATATTGAATTTAAACGAGGAAATAAAGGCTAAGCAAGTGAAAGATAACATCACGATAACTCACTGTAAAAACAAGGTTACTTTTCACTATTTGGCTCCGAGAAGCGACTGTAAGCAGTGCGAATCGAAAAACAGTAAAAGAGTTTTTGATTTTTACGAGAGAAATGTACCAAAACTCGGGAAGTATTCGAATCAAAATAAAACCAGATTTTTTTCGTCGTACTGTAAACCACCTGAAACTCCCAATCCAGAGGAGACTCAACCAGTTAAAAAAGAAACCATTATTGTAAAAGATCAGAACATAATGGCGAATAAATTTGATCAAAACAAGTCGATATCGTTGTTTAATTTGATCAAGTACCGAACGAGCCTTTCCAACGAGTTCTTCGCAACCAACAGATACAAATTCGAGGCGAAACAAAGACCGGACATCTACCAGTTCCAGGAAGACAAAGAAAAGGAAATGTACGACCCGTACCCCTTGGAAATGTTTAACGAAGATGCAGTAAACTGGAGCTTGGACACAGCTAGAAGTATGGAACAGAAACAGTCTAGTTCCTTCTTGGACAGCCAGTTCAAAGACGATTACGTGATGTTGAAAGTCCCCGACGCGGCGAACAATTTGGAGTACGAATGCGGCAGCAAAAAATGTCCCGACTGCGGAACCGGTGAAAAAACGGCTCCCTGTAAAATCAAAGCCCCCAAAAAGAAAAAGGGCAAAAGGGAGATCGATGAGAAGTGCAGGAAGCCTGTTAAAAGGGCTCCGTGCAAAAAGGACAGCCCCTGCGACCAGGATTGGGGAGGTAGTCGCTTGTCTGGTCCCGCTAACCCTGAACAAACTCTTCTGGAAGGAACTACGGTGAAAGAGTACGAACTAGGCGGATGTAGGAACTGTAATAAGGGTATTAGACAGTATCCATCGAAGAAACCGAAAAGGAACGATCCCAAAAGGGACCGTTCAAGAGTTAATAAGCCTGGAAAGAGCAAGAAGAACGCAGGTAGGAGACCGGATTTTCAGTCGCTGTCGTCAGTAACCGCCACAAACTATTTTTCCGGTGACATACTTAACCAAAGAAATTTCGTAGAGAGTGGGAAGAATACGAACAGCGACCACCAATTTCTGAATATCTGTCAAACAGAAAAAGTCGAAAGTGATGAGAAAAAATCGTTGCCCAAGTTCTTCGTGCATCCCAAAGACGATCTCAATGAAACGATAGGTAACGCCTTTGAACTGCCTCCAAAGGTGGAAATCAGCGAAAAATCGAAGGAGATGCTGGCCAAAGCGATTAGGAAGATGATCCAACCGGTTATTGAGACGGAGTTCATGAAGTATGACGAGGTTAAAGCAGGTAAGAAGATAGAGAAAAGTGTATGCACGACATAGCCATGAGTTCTAAATAGCGGTGAGCAAATGCAAGATTAAGACCAAGACTTCCTTGTTCATGGTATTAGTCTTGTTCTTGTTCTTGCAGATCTATCGCTAGTCTTGACCTTCACTATTTCTAAAGTTTGTCCAATGAGTCAGAGAATATTTTGATGGGTGACATATAAAAAATGACAGGCACAACTGTCGAAAAATATCTATTTATATCGAAAATATATTTATTATCGAAAAAAAACGACGTCATGTTAAGAATCTTGGAAATGTCGATTGATGACGTAAGTCATATAATCTTACTGTTTATAAAATTTTATCTATCTTCATTTTGAAGCAAAATGTGACATCGTTTTTTTTTCATCGTATGGAATTAGTTTTATACCGATCAGGTCATCATAAAAGTGTGGTCTGGATTTTAACATGTAAAGCTTGATTTTCATGCATCCGTTATCCGACGATACGATGATACGATATTAATTTTATTGGTTGGATTTAAAGACTTCGATTGGTTAGAAACGGTTAACCAATCGAAGCCTTTAAATTCAACCAATAAAATTAATATCGTATCAACGTATTCTTCTCTCTGTCTTACTTGCCAATATCCACTCTTCAGATCAAAGGTAGAGAATATTGTCGATCTCGCCAGCGTGTCTAGAGTATCGTCTATCCTCGGCAGGGGATAGCTATCCTTCTTGGTAACATTATTGAGCTGCCAATAATCAACACAGAACCTGGTGGTACCGTCTTTCTTCTTTACTAGTACTACCGGCGATGTCCACGGACTGTTAGTTGGTTCGATGACACCCTCTTCTTTCATTTCTCGAAAGATTTTGTCAGCTTCTTCACGTTTGGCGAGCGGAAGTCTTCTCGGATTTTGTTTGATTGGTCGTGCATCTCCGGTATCAATTTTATGTTGTACTAAATTGGTACGACCTCTCTGTTGATACTTGATTATCAGGTTTCATTCAGGTATATAATGTACCTAAGTATCGCTTATAGAAGTGAATAGCAAATGCAAAATGTATTAAGTACTTATCCACACATATCTCTAAATTACAATTATATTTTTTTAAATAACTTTAAGTCCCTCTTTTTCAGCTGTTGAAAGAATGGAACAAAACTTAGAGAGCTGTATAAGAACTCTATCTAGAGCCTTACAAACCACGGCAGTTTCACCTCTAGCTTTGACAAATCATGAAAGTGAAAAACAGAAGGCAATGAAATTGAAATATCCCCGGAGGGAGAATTCCGAACCTCAAATTATTGAGAGAAGTTTATACCCCGAAATAAAAGACCCTTTCAAAAGTAAATGGGAACACCGCGATCCCAGAAACATAAGTTCCATAGACATCCCTTCGACAGAAAAAAGAATTAGTTACGATGAACCCGAAAACGACAATTTTACAGATCACGCATTCAGTGAATTTTTAGCCAGCCAAAAACCATTTCGAGAAATCAGAAAAGTTAAGAGCGAAACCCAGTCAAATTTTCGAAACCTAGATAGCCAATCGAAAATTAGTGAACTGATAAAAACCTCACAAATTCTATGTAGCGGCAAGGATCCCTGTAAGAAAGAGGATCCTTGTAAGAAAAAAGAGGATCCTTGTAAGCAAAAAGAGGATCCTTGTAAGAAAAAAGAAGATCCTTGTAAGAAAAAAGAGAATGATCCCTACAATTGTGTCAAGGAGAAAAAATCAAACAATATGGCGGAAGATCCTTGTAAGAAGAAAGAGGATCCTTGTAAGAAAAAGGAGGATCCCTGTAAGAAGTCTTGCTTTACGCCCATAGAGACTTGTAAAGTCGATCCCTGCAATAGTCCCTGTAAGAAGGAAGAGCCTCCTTGTAAGCCTGCCATGGAAAGTGTCAAATACCCGTCAAACCAATCAGCGGATTCGTATGGAAATATGACGAGGTTTGAAGTTACTTGTGAGAAAAGTAAAAAAATGGCGGAACGAGAGTGTTGCCAGCCCCCTGTGACGTGTGACGAGAGTAGTAGTTTTAAGGGTGCCGAACTTAAATGCGGAAAAAGTGCCACCATGCCCAAAATTAGGCAACCTCCGATGGCTCGTAGCTGCGAGGCAACGGATGCTTGTAAATCCCTACCTATGCCAGAGAATTGCCCTTTAAAACCGGACTGCAATCAAGGATGCCCTGAAGGTAAAACATAGTAACAGTCAGTAAAATATAGACCAAATTTTCATCAAATATGTCTTTTATTATACCGATAAAATTTTTGGCGAACAATTAAACACTAATTATTCACCACGATATATAGGTTGATTCAACGCGATGGCACGTTAGACGTTTATGGAGAACGGGTGCTAGATTTTTTTTTAAAATTTGGATTTTTACATTAAGACACCTGCCCATCTCTATCTAAAATATTTTCAGCATTGCCGCATCATTTGAAGTTTTAGAATCTTTCTTATTTAAAATTGAATACTCTGTATATTTGGCATTTTTGGAAACTACTTTCATATCTAATAATTTTTCTATTCCACTCACCTATACCTATCTCTAATAGTTTTTGAGATAAAAAATAAAACATGTTTAAAATTGGCAAAAACATGATCTTGAATAAGCATGGGTAAAATGATGAATTGAACATTTTTGAAGCTGAAATTTGGGTTATAAGTTAATGAAAGTCTATCTATACGGTCTATCTAAATTAACAGATTGGATATTAGACAGGGAGAGCAAAAAATTATTGATTTCCGTTTCTTAAAAAATTGCTCAAATCTTTATTATTTTAAACTCAGCCTTTTGTATGTTTTTTTAAAAATTTAGAGCAATAATGTAAAGGCACTCCGTTGATATTGATCAAGCTTGACAAAATCAGTAAAAAATACGAACAATAAGTTGAAAATCTTTTCTAAAAAAAGTTTTTTGATTTAGGTAAACCGGCCAGTTGTTACCAAACCGCTTGCAAAATAAAAAAGGAACCCTTTGAAGATACTAACGCGAGAAATACATGTAAAAATGAAATTAACGTTGACCACGGAATGATAGGAATGAAACAATTAAAAAAATGTGGTAAGTATGTTGCTATGTGTTTCTCTTGTACTTATCATTTTCAAAATGACTAATCCTTTGAATAAAAACATTAAGGAAGGAGTATAATGCTATACATTTTACTATTTTACTATTTTACTATTTTACTATTTTACTATTTTACTATTTTACTATTTTACTATTTTACTATTTTACTATTTTACTATTTTACTATTTTACTAATTTACTATTTTACTATTTTAATATCTTTTACTATTTTACTATTTTACTATTTTACTATTTTTTATTATTTTACTATTTTACTATTTTACTATTTTACTATTTTACTATTTTACTATTTTACTATTTTACTATTTTTACTATTTTACTATTTTACTATTTTACTATTTTACTATTTTACTATTTTACTATTTTACTATTTTACTATTTTACTATTTTACTATTTTACTATTTTACTATTTTACTATTTTACTATTTTACTATTTTACTATTTTACTATTTTACTATTTTACTATTTTACTATTTTACTATTTTACTATTTTACTATTTTACTATTTTACTATTTTACTATTTTACTATTTTACTATTTTACTATTTTACTATTTTACTATTTTACTATTTTACTATTTTACTATTTTACTATTTTACTATTTTACTATTTTACTATTTTACTATTTTACTATTTTACTATTTTACTATTTTACTATTTTACTATTTTACTATTTTACTATTTTACTATGTTTCAAAAATTTTCAGATTATACAAAAAACGCTCCATGCGCATCATATAATCCGATAGAAAAGCCAGAAACCTTCATCCGGATAACACCAGAAGAAAATGAAGTCAAACACGAACCTTCTGTAAAGTTACGTGAATGTCCGCAGCCCACGGAAAAGGAAAAACGATATTGCGACGACAACGCTTCCAAAAAAGAAGAAGAGGAAGAAAAATTAGCGAGGATCCAGGCCGTCGAGGAGGCGCGCAAGAAAGAGCTGGAGATGGAGTGTAGTAGAAAGCCGGTCGAGTTTGGACAGTCGTTGAAAAATAAGTGGATACCGGTAAAAATTGAAAGTAAGTATTTTATTATTATTGGAACAGATTAAAGACTCATTCACACGTGTCTCGCGCGTCTTAGTTTCTTTGCCGTACCGTCCTAGTCTTATCTGAGTTGTATCTTAGACCTTATAGATCTATTATGTCCCCCTTTCTTGAGTTTATAACTTTAGTAGTAAAGAAAGCTTTAAGGCGGGTTCTCACTTGTCAGTTTCGCTGACGCAGTCTGACTGATTCAGTGATACTGAACAAACAATGAACGTCAGAACACATTTTCATGTTAAATGATCAGTACATTCGTACTTTCAGTTAAAGTGAAAACCAGTTCTACTTTTTTTCATTTTGACTGATCATTATCGAATAATGAATAGAAACTGAAGCGTGAGAACTACATTTTCGTGATTTGTGCAGTTTACAAGTTAAGTTAATTAATTCTTTTAATATAGTTTCACTAGCACCCCGTTTATTTCTTCGCAATATCCAGGACCTGACCACCTACGACGATTCACCAGAATATTCTGTAATTCATTTGCTAATTGTAAACAAACTTCGCGAACACCTGGTTTCAATTTTGTTTTAACCATTTTCATGTCTATACGAAATCACCACATTAGAATGTTTGGACCAACTGAATACTGAATGTAGCAAAACATGAAACGTGTGAATACAATCGTTGTTTTTTATTTTTCATTGATAATGAATCAGTCAGACTGCGTCAGCGAAACTGACAAGTGAGAACCCGCCTTTAGTCTACTGAGGTGTTCATTAAGGAGACAGTGTCCTGTTAAAAACCCCGTGACAATCCGAAGTTTGTTCTTACTTAAATCAAGGAAAATATTTGAATTTTCTCGGTCGTAAGTTCTGAGATATTTGTTGAAGTGTCTTAGACCATTGGAGAATTCCCATTCCAGGTTAGGGATGAAGTCTTCCAGATTCTTGAGTTCTGCTTTAAGTTGGTTTCCACTTGGGAAGCAAAACGGTTCTGGTTAAGTTAGTGGAGTGTTCGCTCCTTTTCTAGCTAGATCGTTTGCTTTTTCATTACCATATATCACTTGGTGAGCTGGACCTACAGTAGAAGGACTTCTTCTTTGCCTAATTTGTTTTTCTAGTCATTCTTTGATCAACTTCGAATTGATGGTTACTGAGTTGATCGCTCTTAAGGCTGTTTGACTATTGGATAAGATGGTTATTTCTTGTTTCAAATAGTTCCAATCTAAAATAAGTTGTACGCATCTTTCGATAGCGTAGATTTGGTTGGAGCTGGGGTAGGTTCCCATCGGAGTATTTAGTTTTCGGCCCAAATACTCCCATCCCTTCTTCCTGCATTGTTTTTTAAAGCTGCTATGCTTATAAGATACAGAATTAACATCTTGTTACTTTTAACATATCTATATTTGTTCATACAACTACAATCTGACCTAGAACAATCTGACAATAAGATTAAGGATATTTATAATTTTTATCTATCTAGATAAAAATCTGAGTGACTCGAAGACACTGTCTAAAACTGTTGATAGTAAACAGAAGGAAAACCAGCTAAAAACTGTTCAAGAATGTAATTCATCGTCTAAATCAAAAAGCCTGGTCGAAAACTGCTCCAATAAAATATCCGACCTTTGTATGATGATCGTGCGAAAACATAAAGGCGGAAAAAAGGCTGCGCCCATCGTTGTTACTCTCTCGAGAAGTCAGCCAAATTTAGACAGCTTTAGTGGCCATGCAGGTAAGTTATTAGTCTATATACAGAGAAATTAATAAAAATAGAACAGCATGCCATAAAAGACGCCGAAACAATTACTCGTATGACGACTAAAAATTACCCTGTATACCGGGTGCGTCTCAAAAGTGGCTCACCCCTATAACTTTTTTATTTTTTCAGATAAAATAACGGGATTCGGTATGTTAGTATATGACATAAATTGGGATTGCTTGACGTATTGAATTGTTTTCGGTCACTTCCGGTTTCACCTGAATGACCTGAAATGACTACAACTTTTGATTTTTAAATGGCACCCTCGGTATTTTTTTACTTTATTCGATAGAAAATGACATTCTGAATCGAATGACGTATCATATGTCAATTTTTGACATAGTCACTCGAAAACAAATTCTATTTTAAATTACAATCTAGACTGCTGAAGACTAGACCAGAAGGCTGTGTTAAAAACACTAATTTTTAATCAAGGAGCCTTGGAAAAATAGATTTGATCATCTAATGTTTTTAGTGTCTTGTCCTGGCCGGTTAAAAGATGCCCAAATCGCATTTTTAATCATATCTCAATTTTTTCAAATGGAACGAGGGTGGCTCATTAGCATATTTGGAAAACGCATTTTTTTACGAATAATTTGATACTCTTGGTATTTTGAGTCAAATTGTCGTTATGAACCCCATGTTGCAATTTGAAATAAACCATATGCCAAAAGTTCAAAAGTTGACATATGATATGTCATTCGATTCAGAGTGTCATTTTCTATCGAATAAAGCTTGATTTTCATGCATCCGTTATCCGTTGATACGATGGTCCGATATTCATTTTATTGGTTGACTTTAAAGACTTCAATTGGTTAGAAACGGTTAACCAATCGAAGTCTTTACATTCAACCAATAAAATTAATATCGTATCATCGTATCGTCGGACAGCGGATGCATGAAAATCAAGCTTAAAGTAAAAACATACCGAGGGTGCCATTTAATAATCAAAAGTTGTAGTCATTTCCGGCGAAACCGAAAGTGACAAAAAACAATTGAATACGTCAATCAATCCTAATTTATGTGATATACTAACATACCAAATCTCGTTTTTTTATCTGAAGAGATAAAAAAGTTATAGGGGTGAGCCACTTTTGAGACGCACCCGGTATATATTTTTTTTATATTAATTTGTTTTTTCTTATCGGTTTTAGCGTCACTGCTGATGTGTCCTGGCGGATCTAGTCATGGAAGTGGAGGTAATGGTAACAAAAAGGACTGCTCTCCGTTTGGTTTTTTCAAAGGGAGCAAAAAATCTAATTCGAAAAAAAAGAGTTCAGATGGAGAAAAGTTTCTAAAAATTAATGGTAATATACCTATAAGGTGTACTATATAAATAATAATAAAATTTACTAGTCAATGTTTTTGGAACACGCTTAAAGCCGCATTCCGAACCCAAAAATTAGTGCAAAGAGTTAAAAGTTAAAAATTCCTACCACTAATTTTGACGTTTTGAATGCTTACATTGAAATTAGAGGTACAAACTTCTACGCTAATTGAAACAACTAATTTATGCCACTAATTTTGAGGTTCTGAATGAAGCTTAAAGCCTCATTCAGAACCCAAAAATTAGAGAAAAGAGTTAAAAGTTTGTTAACTTTTTCTATTTTAGATGACTGTAAGAAAAACAGTGGAAAGGAAAAGAAATCTAACTCAAACAATTCATGCGCGACCGAAAACAAATCTAAACCGAACGATTCATGTAAAACCAATCAAGTTAAATCCGAACCCTGCATACCCTGTAAGCACGAAGATTACAGTAAAAAACAAGTTCTGAAAAAAACGAATAATTGCGCGAAGGAGAAAGACGACCCCTGTAAGAAAAAAGAAGATCCTTGTAAGAAATCGGACAAGGCATCGGATAAGGATCCGTACAATTGTGTCAAGGACACGAAATCTAAAACTAAGGCGGACGGTGCTGGCAAAGAAAAGGAGGATCCTTGTAAGAAAAAAGAGGACCCATGTAAGAACAAAAATGACGCCTCCAAGAAAATAGAAGATCCTTGCAAGAAAAAAGAGGATCCGTGTAAAAAGAAAGAGGATTCTTCTAAGCCAAAAGAAGATCCATGTAAGAAAAAAGAGGATCCCTGTAAGAAAAAGGATGATCCTTGTAAAAAGAAAGAAGATTCTTGTAAACCAAAAGAGGACCCTTGCAAGAAAAAGGAGGATCCTTGTAAGAAAAAAGACGATCCTTGTCAAAAGAAAGAGGATTCTTGTAAGCCGAAAGATGATCCGTGTAAGAAAAAAGAGGATCCATGTAAGAAAAAGGAGGATCCTTGTAAAAAGAAAGAAGATTCTTGTAAAACAAAAGAGGATCCTTGCAAGAAAAAGGAGGAAACTTCTAAGAAAAAAGACGATCCTTGTAAAAAGAAAGAGGATTCTGGTAAGCCGAAAGATGATCCTTGTAAGAAAAAAGAAGATCCTTGTAAGAAAAAAGAGGATCCGTGTAAGAAAAAAGAGGATTCGTGTAAGAAAGAGGGAAAAAAGGTTGAAGATCCGTGCAAGAAAAGCTCTAGTAAAAGGGACTGTAGGTCTCCAATGAACAAACCGATTAAGAAAATTATATGTACTACCCCTAAATCGAAGTTCAGGAACAAGTATCCCTGGAACGACCCCGAACTGGCCAACAAGCAGTCTAAACGACAATGCGATAAAGGTATATATATATTTTTTAATTGTATTTAAAAGTACTGATTTTGAAAATTTAGCAAAAGAAGCAAAAGCTGCTCAAGAAAAAAAATGTGCCCCCAAAGAACAAAAATCTGATCCTTGCATGGATAAGACTCAGAAAGCGTGTCGCACACAACAGGCAATATTAAAGAAGTTCAATAGTATGGATAATACAAAGCCTGGCTCGAGTTCGAAACCTAAATCTGTTAGTTGTTCTCCACCAGACAAAAACAAACAAATGGAGTGTAAAAAAGAAGATCCGTGTAAGAAGCAGGAAGATCCATGTAAGAAAAAAGAGGATCCTTGTAAGAAAAAGGAAGATCCTTCTAAGAAAGGGGACGATCCTTGTAAAAGTAGTTCGAAACCGAAAAAGAAATGTAGGAGTCCTACAAGCAACTCCGATTTGCGCTCGAAAATTCAATCTCCTTCTGTTCATTGTAACATGATGGAAAATAATCAAGGTAAACTATACTATGTTTTTTTCTCAGGTAAGATTTCGACTAACCTAATTTCGATTTAACTAAAAAAAGTTTCTAATATTTTTGAAGTTAACTTTTGATGGGTTGATATATAAATTCGCCATGCGTCATCTCTTCTTGTTTCTAACCAGTTTTATTTGTTTATTTCAAAAATGACAGATCATATTTTTTCAATATTATTGGTTTGACGAAACGATGAACGACAAACGCACGCCGTTGCGTATGAACTCGACTTAAGATTTTTGAGAGTTGTCAAACTCTTATCAAATTATAGGTTATAATTTTGTGTCAAATTATGTCAAATAGAAATGATAAATATTTTGCATTTTGGACTGTGTTATTTCGTGTTTTTTAAAATTAAGTGGAGGAAAACTCGAGGGAAAATTAAGTGCTGACCCAAAATACACACTTGCTTGTTTTGTATTAACACATCCTGTAACTGTTTTTAATAAAATAACTCGAGTAGATTTTCTCAGTTTTATACAGTTTTTTTTTGACAATATTTTGAAGTAATCACTTGTCACTCGAATTTTAAATATATTAATTTTCTGTTGTGCGTTCCAGTTGTACCAACTTATTTCTTTGTAAAATAAAATAAAATACTTTGAAAATAAAATGACAGACACATCTATCACTATCACAAGGATCTTGTCGTTGGACAGACTATATTCTGAAATACTTGAAATTAGATTTTTGATGGGCAAATGCAAGACCAAGACCTTGGTTTTAGAATTACAAATAAAAAAAATTAAAATTGTAAATTTTCAGGGGCTGTAGGAAGAACAGTGTCATCTATTCAAGGTAAACCATTAACTCGACATCGTTACCCATGGAACGTAAGTCGAAACGACTTCAGGATAGACCAAGTAAAATATGTTTTTCCTTTTTCAGATGAGGCAACAGAAGAAATGAAAATGCACGCCAAGTTTCCCGGAATCTTTCGAGGATCGTCACTGGTCGTCTTGTACAGCAGGTTGTTGGAACACACAAACATGTCATTATCTCAGATTATAAACATGTCATTGAGGAAGATCAGTCACAGCAGCGGCATTCTACATAGATCCAATAAGGTCGGTTTAAAGAGCGATGATGATGCCTGTAAGAAATCTGCCTTGGATTTGTTTCCAAATAGGAAGAAAGTCGACTCTACTCTAGGTAAAATAAAACAGTAATTCACCACAATACACCTAAACACTTTTGAACACTAGAAGCGTATTTTGCTAACATGATATCATCATCAGCAGACGATTAAAACTAAACTAATATCTACAAAATTGAGCGTTTATATAGGCACTCAGTTGAAACCGATCAGGCGTAACAAAACTAGCCAAGCGAGTCAAAAACCAACCGAGCGTAACAATTAATTACCGAGACCAGAGTAATAGGGACAATATATTTATAAATACCACTACACACAGATATACCAGGTGCGTCTCAAAAGTGGCTCACCCCTATAACTTTTTTATACTCCAAATTTTCTTTTTTTATACACTCCAAACGAGATTTGATTTGTTAGTATATGAAATAAATTAAGATTGATTGACGTATCTATTCAATTGTTTTTGGTCACTTCCTGTTTCACCGAAAATGACTAAAACTTTTGATTTTTAAATGGCACCTCTCTCTTTTTTACTTTATTCGACAGAAAATTAAATTCTGAATAGAATGACATATCTATCAAATGTCAATTTTTGACATTCTCGCTTAATAAAAAATCGTATTTTAAATTTCAATCTAGAGTGCCATGGCTATGTTAAAAACACTAATTCTTAATCAAGGAGCCTTGGAAAAAGAGATTTGGTCGTCTAATGTTTTTAGTGTCTTGTCCTGACCGGATAAAAAAATGCCCAAATCGTATTTCTAATCATATCTCAATTTTTTCAAGTGGAACGAGGGTGGCTCATTAGCATATTTGGAAAAATCATTTTTTTACGAATAATTTGATACCACACACTTGGTATTTCGTGTCAAATTTTCGTTACGAACCGCAAGTTATAATTTCAAATAAACCATATGCGAAAATGTCAAAAGTTGACATATGATATGTCATTCTATTCAGAGTGTCATTTTCTATCAAATAAAGTAAAAAAATACCGAAGATGTCATTTAAAAATCAACAGTTGTAGTCATTTCCGGTGAAACAAGAAGTGACCGAAAACAATTTAATACGTCAATCAATCCTAATTTATGTCTATACTAACATACCAAATTTCGTTTTTCTTAACTGAAAAAATAAAAAAGTTATAGGAGCGAGTCACTTTTTAATGTTAATAATTTAAAATTAATGAAACCATTTGGTGGGTACCAACTGAGCAAGAAAGGTGCTGAACTTTGCGAGGCAACCCTTCGAAACAAAGAGATGAAGAAATGTGAAGCAAAAACGACAAAGAAAGCTAGTTCGGAAAGTGTGAAAGCCACAAGCCATAATTTAAAATTAATCAAATCATTTGGTGGGTACCAACTGAGCGTCTATATAAACCTTCAATTTTGTAGATATTAGAGAGATATAGCAAAGTCCAATACTGCCGCAATTTCGTTATTAGCGCTGACGTTATTTTGACATTTGCGTTTGTTGAACTTCGAGTTATGGCAACACAAAATGATGCCAACATTTAGCCTTAACCTAGTTTTCCGATTTTGTCAATGAAAAAGGCATCTAAATTCATAATTTTTCTTTATTTTTATAAAAAATACCTATTAAATATATCAGAAGTTTTAATTAGTGTCTAAAAGAAAGTGTGTCTAAAAAGGAGTACAATTTAACCCAATAAAGAGTTATCTCAAATTTTATAAAAAAATACAGTATCTCAACTGATAAAATAACGTTCCGAAACTGTCAAAATACCGCACGGAGTCTTCTCCACCTAAATACCGGCATGCGGTAACGTTAATAGCGCACAAACGCTTATTATGACACTTTAACTTTCATAATTGCCAAAATAACGCCTCGGTTAATACCGCATATCTTTGTCATATCTTTCTATTAGTTTAGTTTTAATCCTTTGATGATGATAATAGCCTGGTTAGCGAAACGCGCGTCCAGTGCAAAAGTAAAGTGTTTTGGTATATTGCGGTGAATTTGAATTAGTGTTTTATTTTGCTATTGTTACACCAAAGATTCCAACTCTCAACTGTAATCTACTCTAGGTATAAAAGAATATTGCATAATGAAGAACCGTAAAACGAAACAAGAAAGTGAAAAAACGGATTATAAAACACGTAATGATAATAGTTTGGGTTTAAAATACACTGGTCCAACATGGGATAAAAATTATCTTGAGATAGAAGAAGAATGCAAAAAGCCTGAAGAACCGACCATCCTTAGAAACAAGGAAATGAAAAAATGTGAAGCAAAAACGACGAAAAAAGCTAGTTTAGAAAGTGTGAAAGCCAAAGATAAATGTCAAAAGTCCGACCCATGCCTGGGGAAAGGCTCAACATTAAACAGCACACCAACAAAGAAAGAGACCACTAAACTTCGCAAGGAAGCAGAGAAGAAACACAGTATGAACAAATGTGTAGGGAAAACTGAGAAGAAAACAGATCCCTGTAAAAAATCACCAAGCAACGATAAAACTGATAAAAAATGCAAGGAATCAGTTAAAACTGCCAAGTCCGACCCATGCTTGAGCAAAAATTTGCAATATGATATAGGTATAAGCAAGAAAGGTGCTGAAGCTTGCGGGACAATCCTTAGAAACAAGGATATGAAAAAATGTGAAACAAAAACGACGAAAAAAGCTAGTTTAGACAGTGTGACAGCCAAAGATAAATGTCAAAAGTCCGACCCATGCCTGGGGAAAGGCTCAACATTAAATAGCACACCAACAAAGAAAGAGGCCACTAAACTTCTCAAGAAAGCAGAGAAGAAACACGACAGTATGAACAATTGTGTAGGGAAAACTGAGAAGAAAACAGATCCCTGTAAAAAATCACCAAGCAACGATAAAAATGATAAAAAATGCAAGGAATCGGTTAAAACTAGCAAGTCCGATCCATGCTTGAGAAAAAATTTGCAATATGAGATGGGTATAAGCAAGAAAGGTGCTGAAGTTTGCGAGGCAATCCTTAGAAACAGAGCAATGAAGAAATGTGAAAGAACAACGAAAAAAGCAAGTTTAGAAAGTCTGGCAGCTAAAGATAAATGTCAAAAGTCTGACCCATGCCTGGGGAAAGGCTCAAAATCAAACAGCAACGATGCTGGCAAAGATAAAGTTAAAAAAGATGATAGATGTCGAGAAGTTTCTGATCTTCTGTCCAAAGCACATGACAAAACTGCTTGTAAAGAATCAGGAGCAGTAAAAACTACCAAAATGGAAGGTTCATGTGATGAAGGTGTAAGCAAAAAAGAAAGTACGAAGAAATGTGAAACTAGAACAACATGTAAAAAGTCTACAACCAGTATTAGTGACAAAACTAATAAGAAATGCGATAAAATGAAACCAGGCGACGATGAAGAGAGATGTAGAAAAGTTGCTGAACTTTTATCCAGAGCGCATGGCAAAACTGATTGCAAAGAATCAGAAGCAGTAAAAACTACCAAAAAGAAAGAGGCATGTGATGAAGGCATAAACAAAAAAGAAAGTACAAAGACATGTGAAACAAGAACATCATGTAAAAAGTCGACAACCAGTGTTAGTGACAAAACTAATAAGAAATGCGATGAAAGGAAACCAGGCGACGATGAAGAGAGATGTAGAAAAGTTGCTGAACTTTTATCTAGAGCGCATGGCAAAACTGATTGTAAAGAATCAGAAGCAGTGAAAACTGCCAAAAAGAAAGAGTTATGTGATGAAGGCATAAGCAAAAAAGAAAGTACGAAGAAATGTGAAACCAGAACAATATGTAAAAAGTCCATAACCAGTGTTACTGACAAAATGAATAAGAAATGCGATGAAATGAAACCTGTCGACAATAATGACAGATGTAGAAAAGTTGGTGAAAACGAAAGTACAAAAAAATGCGACACCAGAACAACATGTAAAATGTCCACAACCAGTGTTAGTGACAAAACTAATAATAAATGCGATGAAATGAAACCAGTCGACAATGAAGACAGATGTAGAAAAGTTGCTGAACGTTTATCCAGAGCGCATGCAAAAACTGACTGTGACAAACCAGAAGCAGTAAAAACTACCAAACAGAAAGATTGTGATGAAGACAAAAAAGAAAGTACGAAAACATGCGAAACAAGAACAACATGTAAAAAGTCCACAACCAGTATAAGTGACCAAACTAATAAGAAATGCGATGAAATGAAAACAGTCGACAACAAAGACAGATGTAGAAAAGTAGCTGAAAAAGAAAGTATAAAGAAATGTGAAACCAGAACAACACGAAAAAAGTCTAAAACCAAACTAATAAGAAATGACAAAACTAATAAGAAATGCGATGAAATGAAACCAGTCGACTTTGAAGACAGATGTAGAAAAGTTACTGAACGTTTATCCAAAGCGCATGCAAAAACTGACTGTAACGAACCAGAAGCAGTAAAATCTATCAAAAAGAAAGAGTCATGTGATGAAGGCATAAGCAAAAAAGAAAGTACGAAAAAATGTGAAACTAGAACAACATGTAAAAAGTCCACAACCAGTGTTAGTGATAAAACTAATAAGAAATGCGATGAAATGAAACCAGTCGACAATGAAGACAGATGTAAAAAAGTTGCTGAAAAAGAAAGTGCGAAGAAATGTGAAACAAGAATATCATGTAAAAAGTCCATATCCAATGTTAGTGACAAAACTAATAAGAAATGTGATGAAATGAAACCAGTCGACAATGAAGACAAATGTAGAAAAGTTGCTGAACGTTTATCCAGAGCGCATGCAAAAACTGACTGTGTCAAACCAGAAGCAGTAAAAACTACCAACCAGAAAGATTGTGATGAAGGCAAAAAAGAAAGTACGAAAACATGCGAAACAAGAACAACATGTAAAAAGTCTAAAACCAAACTAATAAGAAATGACAAAACTAATAAGAAATGCGATGAAATGAAACCAGTCGACAATGAAGACAGATGTAGAAAAATTGCTGAAAAAGAAAGTACGAAGAAATGTGAAACCAGAACAACATGTAAAATGTCCATAACCAGTGTTAGTGACAAAACTAATAAGAAATGCAATGAAATGAAACCAGTCGACAATGAAGACATATGTAGAAAAGTTGCTGAAAGTTTATCCAGAGCGCATGCAAAACCTGACTGTGCCGAACCAGAAGCAGTGAAAACTACCCAACAGAAAGACTGTGATAAAGGCAAAAAAGAAGGTACAAAAACATGCGAAACAAGAACAACATGTAAAAAGCCGCCGACCACTGTTAGTAGCAAAACTAATAATAAATGCAATGAAATGAAACCAATAGAGGATGAACGTCAAGATCCTAACCCATGCTCAATGATTGCAAAATATGGCGAAGACATAGGCAAACAGGCTGCTGAAATTTGCAAGCAAAGACTAGAAAGTATGAAGAAATGTGAAACAAAAAAAGCAAGCAAGGCAAAATCGGAAGATCCATGTAAAAAAACGACATCTAATGTTGAGGTTCAAACTGCGGACAAATGCAAGCAAAAGGAATTAAAAGACAAAGCTAATAAGTCTGACACATGCTTAAAGAAACGTCCCCAATATGACATAGGTATCAGCAAAAAGGGTGCTGAGCTATGTGAAGCAATACGTGGAAATCTAGAAAAGAAGAAATGCGAAAAAAAACCTGCAAAGAAAGTTAAATCACAGAGTTCATGTAATAAATCGATGGAAAAAACTGTTAAAAAATGCAGCCAAACGGAATCAGTCAAAGATAAATGCGACAAACCTGACCCTTGCTCCAAAAAAAAACTTGAAGCTAATAAAAGCATGAGCAAAGAATCGCCTGAGCTCTGCAAGTCGATTTCTAAAAAGCAGGAAATGAAGAAATGTGAAGCTAAATCTACACAAAATGCAAACATAGCTAGTGGTTTGTCAAAGAAAAAGTCAATTTGCAAATCTTCTAAAAGAATCTACTACAAAACAAAAGGATATAAAAAAGATTCTCGTAAGAAAGAAATGAAGAAATGCAAGGATATATCTAAGAAAAAAGGTAAGGTTGAATGTAATAAAACAAAGGCTAACAAAAAAGACAAGTGTGCAGAGAAAAAAAAGGATACTGAAATAAATTGCGCAAAAGAAGGTGATGGTAAAGTTAATAAAGAAGATAAGTGTAAAGAAGTTGCAGAACTTTTAGCCAAAGCTCATGGAAAAAATGACTGCAAAGAATCAGACGGGAAAACTACCAAAAATAAAGCAGATCATGTTGAGGGAAATAAATTTGAAATTTTCATTAAGATTAATAAGAAAGATGATAAATTGGAGTTAAAAGGATCCAACGTTTCATGTAAGAATAAAGATAATAAAAAAGAACAGAAACTAGAATGTAATAATAAAATTAAAGAGAAGGATAGTTGTAAAAGTGTGGCTGAAACTCAACACAAAAGTTGTAAAAAATCAAGTAAAATTGTCGAAAAAAATAAAAAATCTGTATTAAAAGCAGGTAACATTTTATTTAAAAATAAAAATATCAAAGATCAAAAGCCGGAATGCAATAATAAAGTTAAAGAAAAGGATAGTTGTAAAAGTGTAGCTGATAGTAACAAAAGTTCTAGAAAGATTGTCGAAAAAGATGATAAATGTGTTTTAAAAGCATGTAACGATTTATGTAAGAATAAAAATAAGAAAGATCAAAAACCAGAATACAATAATAACGTAAAAGAAAAGAACAGTTGTAAAAGTGTAGCTGAAAGTTCTAGAAAGATTGTCGAAAAAGATGATAAATGTGTTTTAAAAGCATGTAACGATTTATGTAAGAATAAAAATAAGAAAGGTCTAAAACCAGAATGCAATAATAAAATAAAAGAAAAGGATAGTTGTAAAAGTGTAGCTAAAACTAGCAAAAGTTGTGAAAATTCCAGTAAGATTGTTGAAAAAGATGATACATGTGTGTTAAAATCATGCGCCGATGCGTGTAAGAACAAAGATAGAGCACAGAAAGTGAAATCCAGTAGTAGCGTTAAAGAAAATAATTGTGTAGATTCTGGTAAGATTATTAAGAAGTCAAAATCATGTGATATTGTAACTAAGAACAAAACTAATATAGACCTAAAGCCAAAATGCGAAAACAAAATTAAACAAAATGATAGTTGTAAAAAACTAGCTGAAACTCCAGCAAAATCACCTCAAAAAGCTCTCTGCAAAGAAACGTCAGTGAAAGAGAAATCAATTGACGATTCATGTAAGAATAAAGATAATAAAGAACATGATAGTAAAGTTCAAGACCCAGAGAGATGTAAAAAATTCGCCGAACTTCTAGCTAAAGCACATTCAAAAACCGATGCATTAGAAAAAAAGAATGACTGTAACGAATCATCAGTGAAAACTGCCAAAAAAGAACCAGTAAAATGTGATATTGCAACTGAAAGCACAACAAATATAGATCTAAAGCCAAAATGCGAAAAGAAAATTAAAGAAAATGATAGTTGTAAAAAACTAGCTGAAACTCCAACAAAATCACCTCAAAAAACTCACTGCAACGAAACGACAGTGAAAGAGAAATCAATTGACGATTCATGTAAGAATAAAGATAATAAAGAACATGATAGTAAAGTTCAAGACCCAGAGAGATGTAAAAAATTCGCCGAACTTATAGCTAAAGCACATTCAAAAACCGATGCATTAGAAAAAAAGAATGACTGTAACGAATCATCAGTGAAAACTGCCAAAAAAGAACCAGAAAAATGTGATAAATTAATCAAAGTAGAAAAAGTACAGTGCAAAAGTGAAGTTAAAGAAAAGAGTAGTAGTGAAAAAGTAGCTGAAAATCTTTCAAAATCAGCCGAAAAGGATGAGTGCAAGCAATCTTCAGAAAAAACTACCGAAAAGGAACCAGAAAGTGTAGTAGAAAATAAATGTGAAAGTAAAAAAGGCGAAGAATCAATCAAAGAAGAAAAGATAGAGTGCAAACCTAAAGTTATAGTACAGAATAGTTGTGAAAAACTAACTGAAGTTCTATCAAAAACGATCTCAAAGGATCCCTGTGTTGAATCTGAGGTGGAAACTTCTAAAAATGCAGTAGTAAAGGTTTGTGAACAAATAATAAAGCAACCTAAGACAGAACAAAAACCAGAATGCATTAAAGAAGTGAAAAAAGAAGAAGATCCTTGTCAAACAATTGCTGAAATCCTGTCAAGATGTGCCTTAAAAAGCCAATGTGTTGAATCGATATCTAAATCTACAAAAAAGGAACAAAACGAAGTACCGGAAAAGAAATGTGGCAGCTCTAAAAAGATTATTAAGGAGGAGATAAAAAAGGAGTCTAGAGTAACTGAAAATAAAATAGAAAGTCACCCAAAAATTTCTAAAACTGAAACAATCTGTGCTAAGCCTGGTGATGGTGGACAGAAGCCAGCTGAGCAATCCTGTGGAGATGTTAAAACAGATAAAAAAGAATTATGTCCAAAGTTTCCGTTTCAACGTAAGATGCCTGAAGAGTCAAATGATTGCATTGATGATTGCTGTGCGGAGCCGAAAAAAGCTCTGCCAGACCAAAGTATTCAGAAGGGTTTGAAGAGTCTAACGAGTATGCTTCCAGAAGATTGCGAAGAGGAGGTTAGAGATATGGGTTTGCTAAAGCAATGCATGAAAATGACAAGAAATACAAAACAACCTTTTGTTGAACGTAAGTGTATTTAATACCATGGGTTTCTCAAAAAAAGTGGCTCACCCCCTATAACTTTTTTATTTTTTCAGATAACAAAACGAGATTTGGCATGTTATAGTCTGTGAAACGAATAACTTTGAATTTGACAGTTCCCGCGGGCTTTTCTAGTGATAATTTTATTAGGTTAGCATCTTGCGGCCATGCTGGCGCAATGCCGTCTCTAATAGAACAGCCTCGGAGCGAGATTTATGACGTCACGCTAGTTAGATACTACGGATTAGTAAATATGTTATAGAATACATGGAAAACATAATTATTTTTCGTATTTATGGTTTGTATTTTAAAAATGATATAGTTTACAGTTAATAAATACAATATATATAACTATTTATAGTAATAAATACTTTGGCAAATAAACTGTGAACCATATAAATGCAGGATATGTTTTACAGTATGGCTGAAATCATATTCCATAGTCAATGTAGATAGTTTTAGTGTTAAGAATAATAATTTAAAAAAATATGTGGTCATCTTTTGACAAGTTTATATTAGTTTATTAATTGCAGTAAACATTATGTTGTGTGTGGGGTGAATATTTTATATGTAATTTTTTGGATTATATTTGACACTATTTTTTTCATATGACACAACACTGATGAAGGCTATAATGTTAGCCGAAACGTTTTTTTTAACCAAATAAAAATAATGAAAAACCAAATGAAAATCAAAAATTTTAGAATAATTTTACATATAAAATGACAGGCGATCTCTATTTCATAGCCATCGCTGACGCCTTTTTTCTATGATATTGTATTATTTGCAAATATAATTTTTCGAACATTAATAACAATACATCATTATTAGTAGAGATTATATAGATCGATTTTCAAACCCCAAAATTTAAAATATATTTTACATTTTACCCAACATTTGCTGCATTTGTATAGTTCATAGTTTATTTGCCAAAGTATTTATTCCTATAAATAGGTATATTGTATTTATTAACTGTATATTATGTATATTTCATGTAAACTGTATCATTTTTAAAATACAAACAAAAAATACGAGGAATAATTATGTTTTCCATGTATTCTACAACATATTTATTAATCCGTAGTATCTAACTAGCGTGACGTCATAAATCTCGCTCCGAGGCTGTTCTACTAGAGACGGCATTGGTCTGATATTTAGAAATGTCAAAAGCTGATGACATTTTACTTTTGACAATTATGACATTTCGTGTTGATTTTTGCAAGAAGAGGAAGAACTGTCACTTGTTTTATTATTTTCCTTTTCTACTTCACGAAAGTAAAAAGAGTTACCTATCTAATTCGTTCAGGCACTCAATTTAAAGAATATCAGTAACTTTTTTGACAGACGGATTTTATATTTGCCATGTTGGTAAAAAATAACGGTCAAAATTCAAAGTTATTCATTTTATAGACTATAGTAAATGACATAAATTAAGATTGAGTGATGTGTTCAATTGTTTTCGGTCACTTCTTGTTTCACCGGAAATGACTACAACTTTTAATTTTTAAATGACACCTTGGTATTTTTTTACTTTATTCGATAAAAAATGACATTCTGAATAGAATGACACATCATATTTCAACTTTTGACATTTTTAATTAAAAAAAATGAGAATTTGCCTCGAAACATCAATGATGTGGTACCAAAATATTCGTAAAAATATGCTTTTTCCAAATATGCTAATGAGCTATCCTCGTTCCATTTGAAAAAAATGAGTTAGGATTAAAAATACGATATGGGCATATTTTAACCGGCCTGGACAGGACACGAAAAACATTAGACGATCAAATCTATTTTTCCAAGGCTCCGTGATTAAAAATTAGTGTTTTTAACATGTCATGGCACTCTAGACTGAAATTTAAAATACGATTTTTTTTTAAACTAGAATTTCAAAAGTTGACATATGATATGTCACTCTATTCAGAGTGCCATTTTCTATCAAATAGTAAAAAAATACCGACGGTGCCATTTAAAAATCGAAAGTTGTAGTCATTTCCGGTGAAACAGGAAGTAACTGAAAACAATTGAATACGTCAATCAATTCCGATTTATGTCATATACTAACCTACCAAATTTCGTTTTATTATATGAAAAAATAAAAAAGTTATAGGGGGTGGGCCACTTTTCAGAATCACCCGGTATACAGTGGGGTCCACTAAGTATGCATATGGCAATTTTTTGTATTAGAAGTCCCGTCCAAATGGAAATACTGTCAAAAGTTAGTGCATGTCCGATAGCCTAATCAGCGATATTTCGAATGACTGCAAGTCAAACAACCTACAGGGTGGGTCAAAAATACAAAAACCGTGCAAGAATAAAGTACTTTTCTTAGAAAGAATTTAAAAAAATGTCATTAAGAATAATTTTTTGAATATATAAAGACAAGCCTAAATAAAAAGTCACAGCCTCTTATGCGGAAAATGGAAATTTATCAGAAAATTCTGAAGCGTCCTCGTATACCAAGTACATATTTTTGATGTTCCGTGTATACTAGAGTTGAAATTAGCTAAAATCAACCGAGTGTTGATTATTTTGCCGTGGACTGAGCTTGGCCCTTACAATCTACAGGGTTTTTTATATCTTTTTGCTACAATTATGTATGTTATTACTGTTGCAAGGAAACTTAATTGATTTTTATGATTTCCAAACCAAACCATACGCCAGAAACTTCACTTATTCAAACTCAATATCTGACCAACTATTTAGCCAAAAAACCTACCTAAATACATTGCAAATATTATTTACCAATTCATTCGCTTTTACCAATACACCCGCGAAACTTGTGTACGTATATTTGGTCCACCCTGTAGGTTATTTGACTTGCAGTACTAATTATCGCCGATAATATGGTTAAGAGCGCTTGCACACACACCGGCAAAGTCGGTGCCGGTGTCGGCGCCGGCTTTGCACCCATTCCGACAGTTGTATTTAATTCTATTGTATTTACCGGTCCCCGACTATTTTACCGGATCGTAGTATATGTGAAGGAGCTAATTTATTTATATTGCAATCGATTTCAGATCAGCGCTCTAACGGGCATGCACATGGGCGCCGGAAGAATGAAATTTAGGGGGGGGGGCAAGGTAAAAATGAATAAAAAATTGAAACACATTTTTGGTAATTATTGGGAAAATTGGAAATCGTCCGATTTTCACCAAAATTGGTATACACCCTAATTTGAAGTCGTAGATTAACTTTTTTCTTGGCGGTCTCTTACCGTTTTTCAGAAAAACGGAAAATAATTTCAATATCGAATTTTTCTTAATTTCTCATATTTTTAAGGTTCTCTGGCACATATTTTGTTAGGTATTCAATAATCAATGATGTTTTTGCTATTTTCTGTTACTTTTTCAACCAATTCTATGCATAATAGAGGAAAATTTGCTAAAATAAATTTGTAAACAATCTGAAAATGTTAGGTTATAGCTTTGTTCGGGTTCTTGTTATTACCGATTCTGAACCGTCCTAGAACTCTGCAGCGCATGAGCAAATGAAATAATGTCTTCATATTTCCTTCTGCGCATACGCATCACAGTTCTAGGACGGTTAGAGAGTTAGAAACCCGAAGTAAGCTTATTTGTTTCTGGCATTTAAAGTAACGTTGCCAATGCTAAACCTAAATTTAGCGTGTTTTTTTCGCTCATTCTGGAATTACGAAAGGCGGTCGCCAGAAGAACGGCTCCTTCCCATAACTGCTATTTTACCAACGAGATCTGACCATTTATACCCATGAAGTTGCACGAAAGAATTTTGATTGCATTAGTTACAACTTCCATGCGGAGGGTGTTAATCTTTTGTTGTTATATTATATCAAAAAAAGATTAACCCCCTCCGCAAAGAAGTTAAAACCAATGCAATCAAAACTCTTCCACGTAACTTTGTGGATATAGGTGTATATTTAATTATTGTCGATCTCATAATAGGTAATTTATTTAATATCCCTATAATCACCCGAAAAAATAGAAGATATGGCAACGTTGTAAATTTTCAAATTTCTAAATTAGGTCTAGAATATATTTGTCTCTCTCATTACATAGGAGAGAGAAAGAAGGATATATCAAATGTCAAACTTCCATTTGGTCTCAATTTTCTTTGTTATTTTGTTAAGAAAAGTGTTTTTCAGTAAAATGTTGGACATTTTTCTATCCCCAATCAAGTGTGGCTTTTAGATAAACTATAATATAATGAAAATATAGTGAAATTATTACTTTATAGGACCGAAATAAAGAAAAATTCAATGTTGAAATAATTTTCCGTTTTTCTGAAAAACGGTAAGAGACTGCCAAGAAAAAATTAGATTCGTAATCTACCTCAAAATAGTGTGTATAATAATTTTGGTGAAAATCGGACGATTTCCAGTTTTCCCAATAATTACCACATTTTACAGGTAACACCTAAAAATTTCATAATAATGATTATTTTTTTACAGATGGATGTAAGAAGATAGCTTTTATTTTTACTGTTTCAGTGATCCAGGGGGGGGGGGAAATGCCCCCTCTTGCCCTCCCTGTCCGGCGCCCATGGGCATGCACTAACATACCGGGTGGTATAGCTGCGTTGGAAACATAGGAAATCCCATGCAAATTTTGAACTATTCAAATAATGGCAAATGACCCCCTTGCTGATTTACAGCAAAGTAGTAAATAGATTTTTTAAAGGTCGGCGTATGCTGAATACACGTGGCAATTTCGAACAATTTTGAACAAGCTGATTTTAAATAATTTAAGAAAAACTGCATCTACTGTGAAACTGAACAGGACAGCTCAAAATTTGCATGGGATTTCCTATGTCTCCAATGACGATGCATCACCCGGTATACAAAATCAAGGATGTTTGAATTTAGAAGATTTTAAATAAACGAATAATTTTAGCTATATCTGATGAAGACGCAGAGAAGGCGTTATGCAGTGGAGATGAGACTGTTGTGTGTAAAGTCAAAAAAATAGGTAAACGAATAAGCAAGATCTTGTGATTAGTTTCGATATAAAGGCCCCCATACACTTATTGAACCGTACAGTTAAAACCGGGCGGTTAGAAAGGATAATCCAAGCAACTTCCAGACACAAAGGACACAAAGTTGGTCAAAGATTGCCTAGAGAAGCTGGAAATTAGGCAAAGAAAATAGAGTCCTCCTTTCTCTGGGTGCCAGCCCACCAAGAGATAGAAGGTAATGAAAAAGCAAACAATCTAGCTAGAAAAGGAGAGAACACTCCATTAACTGGAAAAGAACCGTTCTGCTTCCCAAGTAGAAACCAACTTAAAGCGGAACTTAAGAACCTGGAAGGACCCCATCCGTAACCTGGAATGGAGGATTCCCATTCCAGAGACAAGGGTCTAAGACACTCGAAGAAATTTCTCAGGACTTGCTAACGAGAAACATCAAAGATTTTTCTTGATTTCAGTAAGAACAATCTTTGGATTTTCACGGGGTTTTAACAGGACACTGTCTCCTCAACGAATATCTTAGTAGATTGGAATATATTTTTGGAAAATGGGGAAACCCCAGAACACTTCATCACTGAGTGCGCCGAGACGACAACCATTCGTGCCATAAACTTTGGTACAACTCATGGTACAAAGAATACAAGGTATGATATTGCGCAGGTTGGTCGCTACGTCACAGGTGATAACAGGCGCTATTGGTCAGCACGCTCCGCGCGCCAGTTCAAATCGTCAAGGTATTGTTATAAACCTGTTTTTTTGTTTATATACCGTCATTCAATTATCGCTAAGCAAGTTACTGTGGAGCAGTGCATAAGGAGTCGGGCTAGGAAGCGAGAGACCAGAGTTCGAATCTCGGCCGGGACATAACTTTTTATTTATTTTTTTAAATACTGTTGTATTCTATAGTTTATTTTTGTACTATAAAAAAAAGAACTATTTATTCTGTTATTTTTTAATCTCCGGTATTAATATAAATTGATTGTTGGTACAATACCTCATTTAATATAAAATAATATTCTACTTTTTGAAATGTATCGGGTCCTAATTGTACCTAAAAGTAATATATTTTTAGTGATATACCATATTGTAAACTATTTAATATTTCAGTCACTTAAAAAGTTAATGGGCATTGAATAATTGCCTACCATTAAAGGAAATTTGAGCTATATAATTCTTGATGGGCATATTTTGGGTATGCAAATACTTCCTCTAAATTTTGGGTTTCGTTCAACCCATTTATTCTCAAAACCTGAAATATCTACATATAAAAAGAAGCACAGGTCACTAATTATAATAAACTTCACACTTGAAATTACTTCCACTAATTATAATAAACTTCACCCTTGGATTTACTTCTATCACAATTACAATACATTCATCTGCATTGACAATTTCTACTTTTCGATGGGAAACAATAAAATTCCAAACATTTTTTTAAATGATGTAACAATTCCTCTTGTGGTTACTTTTCGATAGATATCCTCATCTCTGTCCTATGTGAATTCAGAGGCAATGAACATGAAAATTATTTACCATAAACATCGCAAACTAAAAACCTAATAAACAATTTTATACCGAATATAGAAATAAATTTAGTATTCTTACCTATTATAGTCCAAATCCATGTTAATAGATAATTATTATTTTTAAATATATTTTTGGAACTGCTGGTTTTAGTAATTATTAAATTAAACGAACTAAAAAGTCTTAAAAATAAACAATTCTTAACCATAACCCCAAAAAATGCAGATCTCCTGTCAACTTTCTTTATTTTTCATTTATTCATTATTTTCCTAATGACGTCACAGGTGGTATGCGCGAACTGAACGAAATTGGAGCCGCTATCGATCATACCTTGTATTCTTTACCATGGGTACAACATTCTTTGGTACAACTGATATAGAAGATGGATAATTAACCTTTGTAAAACCGTCTCAGCTCTGAGGCTGTATGGTGAGTTATAACTCATGAAAAGGGGACACAATAGATCTATAAGGTCGCGGTGATTAACTTCCTCCCTCCCAACAATATACCATTTACACTGACGTTTTCAGCTGAACAGTCCTACCCGTTCGGTTAAAACCGTGCAAAATAATCGAAGTGTATGGGGGCCTTAAATGAATTTTGAACAATAAAAGAAATTTATGAATCTGGTATTTTGTTAAGGAACTGGAGAAAAATTGGTTTGTGGTATAGACCTATCTTCTGACGAATCGGGTGATAAAAATGATGATTGCACAGATGACGCGGATGTGGAGAGAATATTGAAATGCTCGATAGTTAGGGACTGCAATAACAAAGAAAAGTAAGTTGATTTAATATTTGACTTTTTTTTATCGTATGATATACAGGGAGGTTCGAACTGTGTTCCTGAAACTTCGACAGCCTATTCTGCAGATAAAAATAAGTAAAAAAGTTCGTATAAAGTTATGTCCTAAAATGGTTAGTTTCGGAGATACAGAGTGTAGAAATTTCATTTATATTTCGATTTTTTTCCAAATAATTTATTAAGTAACGTCAATATTTGGATGAAAATTGGTGTCTCAGAGTTTTTTGACATGATAAATTTGATTTTGATGTCAATATGACTCCTATTTGTAGAGGGCACCACCTGCATATTTTTTAATTGTTTTGAAAAGTAACAATTTTTCGTCCATACCTGTATACAGGGTGTTTCAAAACAAATGCGAAAAACTTCAGGGGGTGATTCCTTGTTCAAAATAAAGGGTAGTTTGCTTCATAAACGTTGGGTCAAAAGTCAACCATTAGGGAGATATCGCGGTACAAAGATGGCGGAAAAATAATGTTCTTATTTTTTATCTTGAAAACGAAAAGAGATAGACTAATGAAATTTTATGGAAGCATTACTGTTATGAAAACACACTTTTTGGTAATTTTTTCACTTTTTTAAAATGAGTGGAAGGGGTTGAAATAAACTATCCCTATCATTCTTGTTAACGAAATTTAAAGAAAAATCTTATCAAACACATGCAAAAAAATTAATTTGGATAGTTTAGTTTGTTTAGAAACTTTTTTATCTCTTGTATTTTTTTTTATAAAACTCACCGATTTGAAATTAAAAAATAAAATGTAAAGCATTACATGTCAGGACTAAAAATATTTTTAGATTAAGAATCTAGTGATAATAATGATAATAATAATCTAGATAATAACGTATTGCAGTAGGGTAATGTCAAATAAAACAATATTAGAAACATCCTAAAAAGTGACAGCGGCCGACTAGATTTTTTCCTAAAAAAATTACAGCTGCCCACTAGATTCTTTATCTAAAAATGTTTTTTGTCCTGACATGTAATGCTTTACATTTTATTTTTTAATTTCAAATCGGTGACTTTTATCAAAAAAACACAAGAGATAAAAACGTTTCTAAATAAACTAAACTATGAAAATTAATTTTTTTTGCATGCGTTTGATAAGATTTTTCTGTAAATTTCATTAACAAGAATGATAGGGGTACTTTATTTCAACCCCTTCCACTCATTTTAAAAAAGTAAAAAAAATACCAGAAAGTGCGTTTTCATAACAGTAATGCTTCCGTAAAATTTCATTAGTCTATCTCTTTTCGTTTTCAAGATAAAAAATAAAAACATTATTTTTCCGCCATCTTTGTACCGCGATATCTCCCTAATGGTTGACTTTTGACCCAACGTTTATAAAGTAAACTACCCTTTATTTTGAACAAGGAATCACACCCTGAAGTTTTTCGCATTTGTTTTGAAACACCCTGTATAACTACTGAGCGAAAAAATATACATTTCCCTGACTTTTTACGTAAAAAAGGTCTCTTGATAAAAATCGCTAGGAGTAACGGTCCTCGAGATATTTAGAATTGAGATTATCAACACCTGTCATCATTGGCATAAATTAAACATGTTGACTGAATAGTTATTAGACTGAAATCATAAATTTGAAATGTTTTTTACCAAGAGACATTTTTTACGTAAAAAATCACGGAAATGAATATTTTTTCACTCAGTATTTTTATACAAGTATGGACGAAAAGTTATTACTCTTCAAAATAGTTAAAACACAACATGTAGGTGGCGCCCCCTACAAATAGGAGACATATTGATATCAAAATCATATTTCTCATGTGAAAAAACTCCCAGACGCCAAATTTCATCCAAATATTGACGTTAGTTCAGAAATTATTTGGAAAAAATCGAAATAAAATTAAACTTCTACACTCTGTATCTCCAAAACTAATCATTTTAGGACATACATTTATACGATTTCTTTACTTATTTTTATCTGCAGAATATGCTGCCGAAGTTTCGGGACTACAGTTCGAACTACCCGGCATAAAAACGTGATCATAACCATCATCAACCATTAGTAAAGAATGTTGAAGGAAAGAATACAGGACAGTAACAATTCAGTTGTCTATCATTTTAATTCATGGGTAAATGTTTAGATTTGATTTCATAAAGAAGCCCTGGTACACAAACTATCAAACCTATCGTATCTACTACTGCGTTGTACTGCAGATTTTCTGCATACTATACTTCCGTACGATACTACCAGACTTAACTTTAAGTTAACAATGCCACTAACAAATATCCAACCATTGATCCAAACGGTGGAAATGATTTGTTGTTATACAACTTGTAGTACGATAAATCGTATTATGTGTGGCCCGTTTTTTTAGATTTAGAATTAAAATTATACATTATAATTTACGTAGTTCTAAAATCTGTGACATATTTAAGCATTCAAGTAAAATATCGAATTCCCTTGAATTTTCTGTTATTTTTTTTTTGAAAGTATAACCTTCGAACATATTTTTCAAAATATCTGTATTACTGTTGCATGGATTCAAACTAAAAAAATGTATATATAATTAGCTAAATATTACTACACCTTACTTAATTAGCCTAACCTTAAGTTTGAAAGGTTAAATGAATAAGTCAGAGAGAATACCAAAATTCAAGACAACTTATAAAATAATATTAAAACCATTTTTAATATAAGAACTTGTTAAACTGGTTCTTAAGAGTGGTTTGTATCATAATTTTAAATGGAATTCCAAAAAATATGAAAATTTATTCATTTAAATCTTTGAAAAATATGTAAAAATAGATTTTTTACATATACACATTGTCCCAAACTAAAAAAGCACTCTATAGGGATGTCTCGTAAACCAGAAGGGATAAAAAGATGATTAAATCAAACCAAACCAAACCAAACCTGCTACAAGGTGGTTGTTTCGAAATCTAAAAAAATCGATTATTTTCGAAGATATTTTTGGGAAAACCCGAATTTTCCCGATTGGCGTTTTTATTTTTTCCTGGCAAAATTTATAAGATATGACGTTAAAAATTTCACATTCCTTATGTTACTTTTCTTGCTCTACAAGATGACGTTATTAGATTTTGAATCTATGAGATACCATCATCAACTTTATTTTTTTAAATCCGAACCTGGATATTATTTTTTTTTAAAGAATATGTCATCTCATATGGAATGATGTAAAACACTTTCAAAAAATGATTAGATTTTAAATCATGAATTATTATTATGAAAATTAGATAGAATTTTTTGAGCAAAACTTGTATCATCAACATCATCATCATTTCCAGCTTATTCAACCATTTCCAATTATGGTGTAGCATCCCTCACATATTTAGATACTTTCTGTGTAATTGGGCCCATTGTTGTCTATAGTGGGGGTCCAAGTTATCAATTATATATAGTTGACCTAGTTGCCTAATTATTTTTTATCACAATTTAATATTTTATATAGTCTGTAAAACGAATAACTTTGAATTTGACAGATCCCGCGGGCTTTTCTAGTGTTAATTTTATTAGGTTATTAACTTGCGGCCATGCTGACGCAATGCCGTCTCTAATAGAATAGCCTCAGAGCGAGATTTATGACGTCATGCTAGTTAGATACTACGGATTAATAAGTCTGTTGTAGAATACATGGAAAACATAATTATTCCTCGTATTTTTGGTTTATATATATATATATATATATATATATATATATATATATATATATATATATATATATATATATATATATATATATATATATATATATTATATATATATTATATACGTTCTACTGTCTGTCTCTCCATACACCGTCTTCCGAGAGATCTTTCCTCCATAAACGTGTCAATCCCTCCTGCCAACTTCTTCTCGGTCTACCCGGTTTTCTTCTTCCTGCAGGTTTCCAGTTTATAATTTGCTTAGGGATTCTTATTTCTGCCATTCTTTGGACATGCCCGTACCATATGAGTTGACTGTTCTTTATGTCGTCCTCTATCGTATGTTTAACTTCCATAATCTCTCTTATGCGTTCATTAGTTATTCGCTCGAGTCTTGATTTGCCTGCTGATCTTCTCCAAAAATCCATCTCTGTAGCTTCCAGCATTCGTTTTGTTGTTTCCTTAATTGGCCAGACTTCACAGCTGAACGTGGTTATACTCTTTATGATGGTATTGTATATTAAAGTTTTGTTCTTGTTGTTTATGCTTCTGTCCCACAGTATTCCATTCAATACCGTGATAGTATTCCTTCCAAGTTGGTTTCGTTCTTTAATTGCTGTATCCAACAGTCCATCATTTGTGATTTGCATACCCAAATATTTGTATTTTGTGCAGCACTAAATTTTCTTCCCTTCTTCTAGCATTAGATCTTGTTGTTCTCCTCCGATACACATATATTCTGTTTTGTTAGTATTGATCTCGAGTCCCCATTTCTGATATTCTTCTATAAGCTTACATGTCATCGTAATCTTGTGCTATGATCACCTGATCTTCCGCGAAGCAAAGTGTGTAGAGCATGTTATCCCCAATGGGTACTCCCATATTTCTACATTTTTGCTTCCAACCTTTGAGAACTTGTTCGAGATATATCTTGAACAGTGTTGGTGAAATACAGCACCCTTGTTTCAGACCTTTGGTTCCATTATATCCTGTTGTTAACTTTTTGCCGACTTTTATTCTAGTTTTTGTTTGTTTATATAATGATTTTACTGCTTTTATTAGCTCTACATTTATATTGGTTTTTTCCATAGCTTCCCAAAGTCTCACAAGGGGAACGCTGTCGTATGCCTTCTGCAGGTCCACGAACACAAGATGTAGCTCTTGGTTTATATTGCTCTTTTTACTTATTACTTGAGTGACTGTAAATAAGTGGTCCACCGTCGATCTTCCGGCTCTAAATCCTGCTTGTTCTTTGGCTTCTATTTCTTGGTATTCGTTTTCGATCCTATTTCTCAAAATTTTCCTTATATTCTACTCACGGTGGCTGTTACTGATATTCCCCTGTAGTTTACGATCTCCCTTTTGGTATATAGTTGAGAGGTAAGCCTCATTCCATTCTTGTGGTACATCCGTTCCGTTTATGCAGTCCTGGAATATTTTACTTTAGTGTTCGTACAGTTTTTTCGGTCCTGATTTAATTAACTCTGCCGGTATATTTCCCGGTCCGGGTGCTTTACGATTTTTTAGTGAGGTACATGCCTTAATTACTTCGTCCATTGATATTCTAATCGGGGATCCTATTGTTCTTATATTTGTCGTCACGTCAGGGCAGTCCATAAATTCGACTCTATTTTCCGTCATAAGATTTTCCATGTATTCTTCCCATTTTTGTGACATAAATCAAATCTTTCGACTTTTTTATGGGAGAAATTAGACCTTATATATAAGAGAAGAACCATTGGGACAAGAGAAGAATTACAGAAGGCTATTCAGCAAGCAAGCTTTTGGACTTATAATAATAATAATAAACCAGTTCGCCTAATAAATCGTTGTAACTCTGTGCGCAACTCATAACTTTATATCGTTGGAAAGGGTTAAACGCCAGCATTTTTTAAGTTACTAGCCAACTATGATTTCCATTTAAAATATTATATTTTGTATTATTTCGGACAAAAAGAGCAACTCTAGAAAAAAACTGACTACGCCACTGGATTGTGCTTAAAAAAGTGGTTTGAGAACGTTTTTTCAGAATTTTTATTATTCCGCGAAATACAAAAGTTATGGACAATTTTCGAAATGGTAAAAAATTCAAAAAGACCCCGTATCTCAGTTGGCAGTGACAATATCAACAGGCGGTTTACGCCATTAAACGTGTCTCAGAAATCGAGCCCATGACATCTATGTCGGTTTTGCTTTATCTTGTCAGGAAATAGGTTTTCTCTGTTAAAACCTTTGAATAAGAAGACTAAGGAAGGAGCATATCAAAAATCTTAGTTACACCGCGATGGGCCTCAAATATGGCCGACTTAAATTCCGGTTTATCAGTGTCGTTCTAATTTTATTTAAAAAATGTAAAACTATGATGTAGGGTAGACGTGGGGTAGACTCAATAATTTGTTGTTTTATTTTACGTTGTGAATAAATGTTGGTAGTTATTAAAATTGTTATAAAAATATGTAATTCTAATAAAAATAGATAAGTTAAAATAAGTATTTATTAACACAAACATCCGATACGCTACTGAAGCAGGTAAGTCAAATTAACGTATCTAAATTCTTTGACATCTAATCTTTGACAAGTAATAATTAAAAGCTAAAATGCAAGAAAAATATATAATTTAGTTAATTTAAGTGAATTTCATAAATGATCGGTTTACTACACGTATGTATTTTATATAGTCACATACTAGCGAAAAGTTGTTCCATTATTTCACTCAATTTTTGCCGAGATCTACCGCACGCTACACAACCAACTATTTTAGAGTATTTTTCGATAAATCGCGATAGTGTCACTGTTAATTTAAGTTCTGCCACAATTTCCATCTAGATTTACTACCTTTATACAACTATCAGTAGTAGAATAAATAATAAATAACATAAAATAAGCTCCGTAAAGACTGACAAATCCACAAAATTTCAAATCAAATTCAAATGTGTCAAATGAATCGTCAAACAGAACTGTCAAGGATCCCCACCCTAGAGTGCTTTTGTGGTGCTTTTTCCGCCCACCATGCAGAATACATGGATAGCATTATGCTCCTTCCTTAGTCTTCTTATTCAAAGGTTAAAACAGACCAATTTCGACCACCCTGTATAATAATGTGTATTGTATTCTGTTGTTTATTATTTTTGTGAAAATTTGTATATTTATGCTTATATATTTTTAGTATACTTTTATTTATTTTTTTTAGATTTATATGCACAGAAGTTATCCCAGAGGGAAAAAGGAAGACAGAGGAGGTCTTAGATAGTTGTCGCCCGGAGTCTACAAAGAACAGGAAAATAAAAGTTACATCAAAAAAGCTGATCTGTCGCAAAACTCCTTCTTGTGAGGGTAAGTACTATTTGTATATTTCTATGAATAAAAAAAAACTAAGAAAAATGTGTGCTCCGCTGTTTCAGAATCTTTTCGCAGAGTCTGCAACAAAGACTTCCTCGATACAGGTTGAGCTTGTTCGGGTACCACTCGACAGCCATATGTCCTGTTAAAAGACCTGTTTAATCCGCACTTTATTCTCTGTTTATTATTTACATTAGCAGTTCCTTTGTGGTTTGTTAGCAGTTCCTTGCTATGCCTGTGCCGCTGTCTATTTCTCCAGTGACAACTCTGCTTTTTGCTGGTCGTATTAAATTGATTATAATGATTTAATTGCTCAACTTAAGTTTTTTTAATATGTTCCTTCCTTAATATTTTTATTCAAAAATAGGCGTTCCCTCCCTGTCTACGGAATATTGAGACACCCTCTATAAAAGAACGCTTATTAAAACTATAAGCGATACCAATTAAACTTTTAGTTACGTAATTGAGGGCGCGATTTTTAAATTCATTGTTGCCAACCATGGACATATTCGGCGCCAGGCTGACTAACTGGAATTTAAATTTCCCACTGGGGATTCAGGTGGCAGCTCTGCTGTAAAAAATGTCAAGTTGCCACATTTATTTATTTATTTCCTCACATTGTCGTTCGTTTTGACACTTTAATTTTGTATCACGAGTTTTTGGTTTATATGAATTGTGTTATGATAATTTGAGTTTAAAAAGTTTTACTAGCAGACCTTGCAGTCGAACATTGTTCTTTTTAGAACCGCTTTTAGTGCAAAGTGTACAAGATAGCTTTATAGCCATTGTAAAAAACTTATCGCAACGTTTATTAGAATATTTTGAACGGGAAAGTGGTAGTAACAGCTTCTTATGTCCCTTAAGTGCTGTTAGGAGATGAGTTAGGTAGTTTAGTTGAGTTTATGTAAATAATAACTGTTTATATGGTATATTTATAATGAATATATTTTTGTTTCCTAAAATATTTTGATTAAAAGAAAGAATATGTAAAAGTGATCAAGGCTGTGCCGGTCAAGCTTAATCACGTTACTAAAAGTTTATTTGGTATGAAGTATACCGGGTGCATCTCAAAAGTAGCTCACCCCTATAACTTTTTTATTTTTTCAGATAAAAAAACGAAATTTGGTTTCATATGCCCACTTGCACCGTTTGTATAAACTTTGTTTAAAGGCTATAAACAGTGATTAACTATGATATTTTATTATAGTTAATCACTGTTTAGCCTTTAAACAAAGTTTATAGAAACGGTGCAAGAGGGCATTAGTACATGACATAAATTAGGATTGATTAGTGTATTCAATTGTTTTTGGTCACTTCCTGTTTCACTGGAAATGACTACAACTGTTGATTTTTAAATGGCACCCTAGGTATTTTTTTACTTTATTCGATAGAAAATGACATTCTGGATAGAATGACATATCATATATCAACTTTTGACATTCTCGCTTAATAAAAAATTGTATTTTAAAATTCAATCTAGAGTGCCGTGGCTATGTTAAAAACACTAATTCTTCATCAAGGAGCCTTGGAAAAATAGATTTGATCGTCTAAAGTTTTTAGTGTCTTGTCCTGGCCAGTTAGAAAATGCTCAAATCGTATTTTTAATCATATCTCAATTTTTTCTAAAATGGAACGAGGGTGGCTCATTAGCATATTTGAAAAGGCATTTTTTACGAATAATTTGATACCATACACTTGGTATTTCGAGTCAAATTTTCGTTACAAACCGCAAATTATAATTTCAAATAAACCATATGCGAAAATGTCAAAAGTTGACATATGATATGTCATTCTACTCAGAGTGACATTTTCTATCGAATAAAGTAAAAAAATACCGGGGGAGTCATTTAAAAATCAAAAGTTGTAGTCTTTTCCAGTGAAACCGGAAGTGACCGAAAACAATTGAATACGTCAATCAATCCCAATTTATGTCATAGACTAACATCCCAAATCGCGAAATTTTTTTAGCGCATTCACCATTTTTTCAACATTTTTGAAAATATTATTTGAAAAATTTTTGCTGCGTTCACCATTTTGTCAACATTTTTTTTTGATATTATTTATTTTTCATTGCAGTGAAAATATAATTAAATTTAAATTAAATATAATAAACATTATGTATATACAGTGTCCACCATAAAGTTGGATCTATATGGACGTTTTTTTTATATTAGAGTTTTAAAAAAACTTTTTGTGACAATCACTTCTGCTTTGAAAACAACTTAAAATGCACAAAGTGAAAGTTGACAGCTAACATCAAATACAAAATATTTAAAAGAAATTTTTATAAATTGGTTAAATTATTATTATTTTAAAATAGGTTACTAACAAAATTATGTTTCAACTTTGACTTGATGCATTTTAAGTTGTTTTTAAAGCATAATTGATTGCCACAAAAATTTTTTTTATCTCTAATACCAAAAAAGACGTCCATATGGATCGAACTTTATGGCGAACACTGTAATTATTATTGAATGGCTCCCCCAAAAAACGTGGTAACCGACATTTTTTCAAAAATAGAGATTTCAGTGAAATAAGGTTGTAATTTTCATATCAGTATGACGTTTTTTCCTCGGTTTTTTCACTGAAATTTCGATATTGAAAAAATTGTTGGTTATAACCGAGGAGCCATTCAAATATTATTCAATTGACCTATTATGCAGAGGTCCGCCCGGAAAAAAATAAATAACTTTAAATAAAAAATTACCATTTTATTATTTAGATACATGTAAATATATTAAACTAAATTAATATTTTAAGCAGTAAAGTTTTTTCTTTATTTTGAGTATTTTTTCGGTAAAGTGCCCCTTCAGCTACTGCACCTGACGAGCCGCCACTGTCATAAAAACATATCATCAATGGGCTCTTTCACTATATTTTGGAATTAGCATAATTGAATAAAGCAATTAATTCTAGAATTTTCTGCTATCTCACTTTTGAAAAATTTGAAGTCGTTCTTAAGAAAATAAATAAAAACAAAAAAGCCCAGAATAAAAATCCGCACTTTATTTTTAATACGTCACACCTGGCATGTTGAAAAACGGCAACTCGGCTGCGGCCTGACCCACCACCACCTCCATACAAGGCCATTCAACCTTTTCCAATATGGCGGAGGTAGAAGTGCTTTATTTGGTGCGTATTTTAAAACCTGTTTTATTTCCAAATAGACATTTTTCACACAAATGTCGGGTTAGATTACGTAATATTTCACTAATTTTTTAATATACAGGGAGTCTAAAGTTCTCCACATAAGTATGAAATTTTTTGTATTATTACTTTTATGAAAACATCAGTTAGTTACTTTTTATAAAAAGGTCTGCTTTCTCAGAAAATAGGTAGTGTTAAAATATTCAAACTTGAGGTAGTATATATAGGGTGTTCAAAATCATCGGAAAAAGAAATAACCAGAAATATATGACAGAAAATGGCAATATAAACTAAATATTCAATTGCAAACACTTATCTACCATAGTTTAGAATTTACTGAACGTTTGTTAAATATATACTATTATGGACAGTATAGGAAGTTACTTGTCTTAGTAAAAGCTTTGGTAAATGCTCTTGGATTTATAAACTACCCTGGCTTGGGTCAAAAAATATGGAATCTTTTTTCTATGTTTTGCAGCATTACACAAATGGGAATAAATTTAAACTATAATAGGTGAGGATAAATAAAAAATATAATATGTGTTTCAAGATTTTATATAGGATAAAAAACTAAATACCTTTTTGGGGGTTCGTAAGTAAAACTTACGCCTTAGCTTAGTTTTCTTTACTCTTTCTCTTTACATAGGACATTGTCTTTGTGGTAAACACTTCATTCCTTTTTTTGCATAGTTCTTCAATAAAATATTGGATATTCTGAACAAGATGGATTTAATAAATTCTGATATATGTGAGGGGCAATTGTGACCTAAAAAATGACTTACATCCAGGCCATTTATATTTTCAAATGTCAATGTTGTCAATATCTTTCTGTGATCTTTTTGATGTAAAAAGCTTGATTCTTCTTCCAATATTTTACTTATATATAGTGAGGTAAGTGTAAGCAGTAGCCATAACTACATCCTCACTAGGGTAACAGAGGCTTTGGCCTTTGGCCTTTTTCAGGCATATTTAATGCACTTCTTACCCGAGAACTACTAGTAGGAGTGAAATTATCTCTTTTAATAGCTGTCAACCATTTTTTACGAAGCTCGTCATTTTTGGGGAATATAAAAGCAGAAACCTTGGGACCCCCTCTATAATTCCCGTGACAATTTGGAACAGAGCATGTAAAAGGCATGCTACAATAAAATGTTAATACCTACCCTTTAATACCTATCTTTTGATTATTGTAAGTAACCATTATAAAGTACTATGCAGACTGGCGGCGAAGGATTTTTACTCATTTAGGTGTAATATCTTGATAAATACTTCCAGAGTTCTTACCTTAAAATAATTAATAATAGAGGAGTGCGACAAGCACAAAAGTTTGAAGTTCCCTATGTGGAATGTCTCGTTTGGATTTTTATTACACTGTTATTTTATCACAATTTTCTGATCACACCATGCACTGAACACTAAGAACTAAACAAACGTGTTGCAGAAGCACAACAAACTAGAGATAATTAATTATTTCTGGTATGTAATCGGAACTAGAAACCACTACCGGCTTTTCAGGTTAAAGGTAAACAATTTAATAATGCGCTGCCTTTGCCGTCATATTTGCCTTGCCCATATTATGTTGATTGGCCTTGAGTTGAGGTGGTGCTGGTCAAATCAAATCGCAATATTGCCAGTTGTTGGCTGGCGCACGAGCACGGTTCTGCAATGTGATTGGGCGTATTTTTCATACGTCATCAATTGGCACTTTAAAATTATTTCAAATTAAAGCAATTTTGAGGGCCTATAAAAAAATTATTCAATGTCATGGAACTATTTTTTTTGGATAAATATACTGAAAATAGTCTTCTATTTCAGATTTTGTCCTTGAATTGGGTATTTTATTTTTTGTGAAAGTGCCTATTGCGGTATTTTATTAACTCTAGAGACTTTACAGTAGTTATTAATGTTATTATTAAACTTTAAAAAAGTTCGAAGTAGTAGTAATTGTTTATTTTCATAAATTTAGATGGGGAAGAACCCGGAGTGGTCTGCAAACTATTGACAGTCGAAGAAATCAAACTACCGAATAAACAAAACCCAGTCAAACAGAACAAACCAACAATGAATAATAGCTCAAAAAATATTAAAAGTCTAAAGAGCTATAAAGACCTATTGAGGAGATGTCGAAGTAAATCCAGTGACCGTTCGAAAAATGAAGGGAAAAAACGGCAACCCTGTATAAGGAAGGGCGACGAACAGAAGAACGAGACTAAACATAAAGAAGAAAGTGAAGATAAAGAGTGTTAGGTACAATGCAAGAAGGGGGTAAGGTTAAACATACATGTTCAAAATTAAAAGTGTACAAACTGTAGAAAAACAGTAAAAGTAAATAAAATACATAAAATGTGTAATATATTTTTTGTTGTGTTTATTTAAAAAAGTGTGTACTTCCTATAACCCATATCCTGTCAAGTTCATGTCCAGCACAGTCATATAACGGGGTAGCTGATGTGTATGGGAACGGTCGATTAATAGGTAAAATATACAAGGTACCGCAAAAAGTTAAATACAAAAGTTATAGGGTTTTTAACTGTTTAGTGGCTAGTAGTAAATTTAAGTATACGGCATCAGTATCCATCCAAAGAATGGCATCCTCAAGTGAAACCGAACACATCGAACTTAATTAGATCGAATTGTTTCAGTGATATTTTCAAAAGTCAATAACTCGGAAACGGTTCGTTCGAGGTGCATTCTGTGTATTTCGATTTTTGCTTAGAATTAAAGAATGAACTGAAATATGCAAATTGTTGCATTTGAGACTGTTAGTTGATTTTTTTAAATGGAAAACCCCTGTATATACAGGGGGGTTCCAAACCAAACCATTTAAAAAAATTAACTCTGATGTGCCACGACTGACCGACCCTGTGTACTTAAATTTATTACTCGGTAATAGAAAGACATCATATAGACTTAAGCGGGGTTTCCACATGCAAGGATTACTGGCGCCAGTGTTCGCCAGTTTATTGGCGCCACAATTAAATGGCGCCATTACCCGTTTCCACAGGTCTATAGTAAATAATAGATTTTAACACCTTGTTATGCTCTAGGGGTGTAAGCATTCCTAATACTTCGAATTTTGGCCTTTGCGGAATTTACATCAAAGTTACTAAGAGAGTCAGACATGACACCAACAATTCTTCATAAGGCTTCATTCCTTTTATTTCGGTCCTTATAATAATCACTTATTTTATTGTTCCATAAGCAAGGATGTTGTTCGTAGGCTTCCAAGAACTTTATTATTAATACAGTAGACCACTTTTTTGAAACAAACGACATTTTTGGAGATGGAGACGCTGGAGATGCTCGCTGTATTCTTTACACACAAAACTGGCGTCAAAAAGTACAGGAGCGTTGAACTTTACTGGTACATGAGTTAGTGGCGCCACTAAACTTGCGCCAGTCGATTTTACAGGTTTTCACATACAATAAAATTGGCACCAGTTGAATGGCGCCTGTAATTCTTGCATGTGGAAACCCCGCTTTAGATTTAAAAAATGCTCTCATCATAGATAAAGGAAACTAATAATTGTTTTGGGGTGCACACTTTGTACGAGATCTGGCGCTGCTATAGCGGTTGCTAAGAACAACCGTAAACATGAACAGAAATAATTTTCTCTTACCAAAGTCAGAATCTTAAAAAACTATCAAATCTCTCAAAATCTAAACCGGCCTCATTGAAAAAATAGCGAAAAGTGTTTAAAGCGTCCATTCTCAAAGTAAATATTGCTATCTTGTGAGTTTAATTTAAATTTTATTTACTCAAACCCGTGATAATTGTGAAAAAGTGGCATTAAAAATTTAAAAAACTGTGTGAACTGTGAACTGCAAAAACCATCGTGGATCGTGGCATAACGTCGGTTTCCAATGTTTCATAGGTATTTCATACATGTCCTTATATAAAATAAAGTTTCTTGTATGCAACACACTGTATTTTATTTAAAAAATTAAAAGAAAATAATAAATTTGCATAAATAATATTTAGCGACATAATTCCAGAAAAAACCGAACCGCTCCGAAATTATCAAAAGCTTTGGAGAGCGACCGTTGTAAAAAAAGCGCCAAATAGTACTTTACACATTGCCCTTGTGGGCACTTTCCAATCTAAACTTGTTTCCTTCTTCTGTGACTCATAGAGTACTAGAAAGAAGGAGGATTATTTTTTTGTTTTATTTTACTTACCCCATATCAATCAAATTTTTCATCTTGGGCTCCATGGGATCTCTGTTTGAGAAGATATTAGGATGTATTGCTCTGATGGTAAACCATGTTTCTATGGCGCTTTTGGTCCTTTCGTGGACGTAGTGGCAGGCGTGAAGAAACAGATAGATAAATTCTTCGTGAACTTCAGGTAGATGAGGCTGTGTCATCATCCTAAAACAAAAAATAAAGTTGCTTTAAACAGGTATACCGTGTGGTGAAAATTTTGAAAAAATCAAATATTATCTCCCCAAATAATTGTATACAAAAGGTGTATTAGACTTTTTTGAAGAGGCGTTAAAGTTGTACTTATGTCTAGAATTTCGTTTTATTTGTAATAAGAATCTAAAAGTTATTTGAAAAAATCTACCTTCAAATTACTAAAAAATTATAATACGGCCCAGAGAAAGCTACAATTAAAATACCAGCAAAATCTGATTGTGCCATTGTTAAATTCGATGTCACATTTTGTTTACAAAAATTTAAGGTAGCAAATAGAGTAATTTTGTATAAAATAATTATGATTTTCGCAACTTCTGAAAAAGTTACGGTGGTTAAACGGCATTTTGCTGGAAATAGTATTCCCGCTGTGTTAAATTTGTTCGCAGCTCAGTCTCCGGAAATTCTATACCGAATAAGTCAACAGTTTGAAACTAAAGGTACTAAGGTATTGGAAGATATACGTGCAAGTGTGAAGATAAAAATAATTGAACAGGAAGAAAACAATAATAACTTGAATATTCTTCATGTTGAAGAAAAGAAAAACATTGACTCCCGTCTATTGGGGATACAGTAAGAAAAGACTACAGGATCTTTCGTCGAACGACTTCTTCCTGTGAAGATCACTTAAAAACCGTCTTTATGGGCATATTAAATACAGAAATTTAGATAAACTGAAAACGACATCTCTGTGGAATGCTAAAGGTTCTCCCCTTAAAGTTTTGTATTGTGAGGCGTGAATTTTACTATCAATTAGGATATTGTTTGACTGTGAATGGAGAATTTTGTAAACATTTGATTGACTAGTGTGGTTTAATAAAGTTCCTTTAGTTACAAATATTTCTATTATTTGTTAAATTATTATTGTGGATGTGTGTGGTATGAGCGAGGCCTGCGAGTGATCGAGTAATGAACAGCAATCAAGTTATATTTCGCGAATACTATTCTCAGTTCAACTAATTCTTTTCTAGATTATTACTCCAATTTAAAAAAAATTAACCCCCTTTCCAAACCATATAAATTCTTGTATAATTTGACAACGACGAAATTATATTTTTGCTTGTATTTTAATTGTAGATTTCTCTGGGCAGTATTATAAATTTTTAGTAATTTTAGTAAATTCTAGACGAAAGTACAACTTTAATGCCTCTTCGACAAAAAAAGTCCAATACAATTTTTGCATAAAATCCTTTGGTGTTAAGATAATTATAAGACTATTTTTCTAAAGCCTGACATCCCTGTATCTTTAAAAACACCATGTGTAAATAAGTAATTAATATTTTATCATACACGCAAAGTAATAAGGTGCAACAGCGCTAGTTAAAAGTCCATTAGCTTTTTAAGTTAATATTGAAAATGATAGGATATTTATTTTCAAGGCTTACCAACATCTTTTTAATATCTACTTCGAATTCTCGTATAGAGATATACCTAGACGTTTATTTTGAAAATTTTATACCGCCAGGTGTCGTATTCCTTACGAAATAGCAAAATATCTCTAGCTAAAGATTATGTGACAATCAAAGTGACAATAATAATTGTCTGATATTTTAATTCAACATTAAATCATTTTTTCCTGTAATTATCTCTGTCAAAAACCTTAATGGACAGATTATATCTAGACAATACATATAGGGTTATTCAATGATAGCATAACAAATATTATATCTTCCATTATTTTCAGTGTTTTGTTATTTATTGGAATATCTTTTCTGACTACTAGTTCGTTGTACATTACTTTACTTTTTTCTAAATTCATTTTGAGACCCACTTTATTGCTGGCTTTATTTAATTTTTGTTAATTTGTGCTTGTAGTTCTTCAGGACTATTGGCAATTAAGACTATGTCACAAATTACCTATAACAGATGCGAAAGAAAGCGACTGCATCGGAAACCGTTCGGCAAACCCGACACGCCTATTGAGTGGTGTAAATACACCAGTCGTTTAGTCCGGAAACCTATGCTGTGTCGTATTCGCTTGCTGGAATGACATAGTGCGTGGTTATATGTTTCTTTTTAAAAACGCGTGTAGGATTTTTGTTGAACTTTTGAACTGTTATTTCTAAGTTTTGGTAATTTGTATATCTTATTTAAAATTGGATGCAAATGTGTTTATTTATAAGGAAAAAAAAGATATTTATAGTATAAAAAATTAATTTATTTAACAAAATTTAATGAAAAATGTGACAAAATACTTACCTTTGTATTGGTTCTATCGGACTTTTTTCGACTATATAAATCTTTATTTGTAAACATCAAATATTTTCAATCTAATAAATCATTTAATGATGTAAATAAGAGGAAATTTCTCACATGGGTGGTGTCAAATTTTATAGTTTTCATTATATCAAACAGCCTCTGAGAAATGTTTTCAACTCAAAATGCCTTTAATTATGTTTGACTACAACATTAAAAAGGGTCTTCAAATACATCAATGTGATATTTGTCTAAAATTGCCAAAGAATCCGAATCTCTGGATAACTCTCGAAATTATTTACCCATTTAAAAGCCTTTTGATCAAGAAAGTGGAAAAATTTGTTCATTTTTATTTACAGGCTGGAAAAAATTATTTATATTAAATTTTGATGAGTTTTGCACTGAAGTTAAAATATTCAGAGGCTGTTTGATATAATGAAAACTATAGAATTTACCACCCATGTGAGAAATTTCCTCTTATTTACATCATTAAATTATTTATTAGATTGAAAATATTTTATGCATTAAAGTTTACAAAAAAATAAAGATTTATATAGTCGAAAAAAAGTCCGATAGAACCAATAGAAATGTAACTATTTTGTCACATCTTTTAATTAAATTTTGTTAAATAAATTAAGTTTTTTTATACTATAAAATATCTTTTTTTTTTTCCTAATCTCCTACGAGCTGATATAATATGACGAGCAATATATTAAATTAATGTGAGATTATACAGAAAGTCCACAGACTTCGAGACATAGGAAAATCAAGTCCATTTAGCGTGTCCAGAATTTTTGACAAGTTTTCAGAAATGACAGTTTTGTTTAGACTGACGTTTAATTTCACCTGACTTCTCGGTGAATGATTTCTTTTTATGGGGGTACATAAAATCTAAAATTTACGGCCATGAAGAAATTCAAAACTTGGAGCAGTTAAGGCAGAAAATATTTAATGCCTTTTGACACTGTCACCCTGATATGTTATCCAATGTGAGGAGGATTTTTATGATCGTTTGGTTTAATGCAAGAGGGAGGCACTTTTTGAACAATTTTTTGTATTTTTAAATTTCATTATCCTGTTTTTTTACCGTTTACCCATTACCTACCTTGACGAACATAGAAAACAGAAGGTCCTTTTCAGGACCACAAATATTTTGATTGGAGAAAATTGGTAACTTTTTTGGATTAAAAACAAAAAGTTTGTTTAGTAGTTTTAATACACATTATGATATAAAATTTATTATTATTATAATGTACATTATTAATACTATTGTTCATTCGAAGTGGCATTAAGGCCCAATTGCAACAATGATTTAAATTTTTCTTAAAGATAAGTGGAGCTTAGAATGAGCTGTATTTATATTTACTTTAATATTCACCTTAAATGAGGGAATTTGACTGATACAATTTTTTAATTTGAATAGTTTTTAATGATACTAACAATTTTAGTTCAATTTTTAATAAAATTTATTTAATATTAATACAAATCCAAGAGATTTGAAACCTCTTTTTAGCGATTTATAACATTCTCAAATGAATTACAAGTGCCCTTATTTTCTATGAAAATCTACACAGCTTTTTTCATAGTCGCTGCAGTTGCTATAGCTATAAAAAACTAATTTTTAAGGTGTCAAAAATTGCGACACACGCTAAATGGACTTGATTTTTCGTATGTCTCGAAGTCTGTGGACCTTTTTGTATGCCTCGATAACATATTGGTGCAGATTATTTTCACCCAAACTATACATTGATGCGGATTGTCTATGAACTCTTTCTGAAGGTCACAGAAACCTGAACGCGTAATTCGGTGTTCTTTCGCATCTGGACTATGTCATCAGCAAATCTTAGATGGTTAAGGTATTCTCCATCTATTAGTTGACAAAAGATTTCTTCTAGTGTCGCTGTATACAGCTTTGAAGATATCGCGTCTTCCTGTTATACTCCTTTGACAGTTGGGTATTCTGGGGTTATTTTATATATGGCAAGAATTTCTGCATAAGTATAAGTCTGTTCCTTGTTTCGTTAAAACTTCTATTATCGACCTCGGGTATATCAGTCGAAAGCCTTCTCCAAGTCTATAAACGCTTACTTTTCTACAGGGTTAGTCTTAAATAAATGCAAGTATTTAAACAGCCAGCTAGACCACTCTAAGGAAATCAGAAGAAGGATTGAAACAGCTAGGGCTGGTTTTCCCAACATGCGGAAGTTTTTATGCCACCCGAGAATAGATATACCAACGAGGCTAAGAACATTAAAATTAATTAATTAATTAAAGAAATTGATAATAAAAATTATTATCTTGAAACTGTGTTTTTTAACAAAAAATACCAAAAAAATTGCAAAAAAAACCATAGACGTGTTTCTGGGGTCGGAATATACCAGCCCTGAAAATATTTGCACTTTTTAAGACTCACCCTGTATATCTCCCTATTATGAAATGAAGGAAGTAAATTAATAAGAGATAAAATATCGTTAATATAATAAATGATATATTACTTATATAATTGTAAGTATTACAATAAATCAAAAGGTATAATACTTAAGCCTCCTTCACACTCTGTATCACTTGCTTCTATTAAAATCTCTAATTACTAGCCTTCTTATGTCACTATACGAACATACGAGAAAGTTATGTTTGCAGAAGATATTTGCGCAATTTTTTACATCGTATAATCCCGCTCGAGTGGTCCATAATTTTAGGTTTAAAATATAGCTATAGGTATCTATATACTAGAAAAAAAATCATTCTGGTAAAATGTA